GGAACCTAAACCTCCAAGAAAAAGAAAAGGCCGAAACCCCAAAAGAATCCAAATGAAATCTTAAATTCACAAGTCCAACATGAGGATTTTTTTCCCCCCTCAGGTTACAGGAATAACCCAAGAACTCGAAAAAATAAACTGGCTTATCTAGAATGGGAAAACCTCCTATGAAATAGAAAGAAAAAAAATCAGATAATGTGTTAGTACCTCAAATACATAGCAGGTTTTACTTGGAATTAAAAGGAAACAGACAACACCCAAGATTAGCTAATGACAGACCTGTAGTTTTTAATAAGGAAAATGTGTTGAGGACAGTTAGCACATGTTTCTCACAGAACAGAAATTATTTCCCAGACATCATTACATACTTTTAAGACCTCTACATTAAATATTTACTTTGTTCATTTCTTCACATTATGCACTTTTACAGTAATCTTTTCTTGCTCATATTAATATTACCCCAACTATTCCAGCAAACACCAGATAAGATAGCAGATGTTACATAAGGCTCCACATAGCCTTCAAAGCACTGGGTGAGGTAACCCCCTCCCTTACCCACTGCACAGTCACTAAAAGTGACCTCTTAAAAAGCCCTACAGAAAATATTGCTACCACCTATACAGTGATATAGGAGTTTGGGGAGTTGAGTACAGAAATCATGAGAACAGTTTAATCTAGAACAAATTCTCACGATATCCTAAGTGATAATACGCAACAAACTGCACAATGCCAGAGAAGAGTTGGGACCAGTTAGCTTGCAGGAAAAACAGCACTTCATTAACTTGCGGGGGCTATGCAGCAAACATTGATCTGAGATACGCCTCTTCGGCCAGGTGCTGTAGAGCTTCCAGCACGACAATTATCTTGTATAGGTCTCTCCCAAGCACATGCAGAGCAGAGGAATCCTACTCTGTTGGGCCCCTGAGCAAGGCCCTTAACCCCAACTGCTCCAGGATGTGTTGTATAAATGGCTGACTCTGCACTCTGACCCCAAGCCTCTCTCGCTGTCTGTCTCTCTCATGGAGAGCAAGCTGGGGTATGCGAAAATAAATTCCTAATACAAGAAACGGTATATGGCCAATAAAGTGATCTAACAAGTTGTTTTTCACTGTTCATTATCCTGAATCACATGGGTACATGACAAAAACCAACTGATACCCAGCTTTAAAACAATTTTCTAATCGCATATCATATGCCTATTACCTTACAAACTAATAAAACATGATGAAAACATGGAAGAAAGACCTTAAATACCTCCAGAAAAGGTTCCCAACATTGATATTTTGACTTCAAAGAATTTAATACACCTTTCAACTGATCCACTCCAATTGTACTACCGTTACAGCACTTATTTAAAAACTGATCAGACCCTTACAGAACTGTACTGACTTTTCATGTTACAAGATTCAGGACACCACTACATTTCCATCCGCTCAGCTATATACCAGAAACCAAAAATGTTCAAGCAAAATTTAACACTCTACAATGAGAATTAACACATATATGCGATTAAAGCCATTTTTCTTACAATTACAAATCACTTGAAGCAGAAAAAACAAACCTACTACTGAAAGGTCAGATCTTGAGAGACTCAAATAAACTGGACAATTTCAATTTTTCAATTACGGAACTTTAAAAGGGTAAACAAATTCCACAGATGTACAGTAATGTTTGCCCATGCCCTTATCTCAAAGAGGAAAAAGGTTAAGTATTTTCCTTCAGCAGTTTAAAAGGCAGCAGAGATCCCCCACAAACACCTTCTACTCCCTGGTTATGGGGTGTGGAAAACTGGGCTCTGGGACTCCTTAAAAGGAGGACAGGAGTTCCCAGAACACCCTGCAATCATTACAAAACATATACGTGCAGGGCTACATTAAAATTCTCTCATCATGCTAAATACCTTCGTTTACTGCAGGTTTGTCAAACTATCACTAAATGCACTTCCTTTCCGGCTACAGTGAAGTTTAATATTAAAGGTTCATTTTCAAAGACAGGTCAATGCTGACAAGGCCAGGCCGAGGCCACTTTGGAATCTGAAAAACGATCAGCGCGTAAATAGCAGCAGGCAGAACTACACGACAGTGAATACTGTACAGTAAACAAAGCCTGGGGTCTTTACAAGAAAAGGTTATGACACAAAACAGTTGCAGGCTAGCAGCTTGGGTGGCTAGCGTTATGGATGAGGGTCCCGCTACAGACCGGTCCCTGCTGGCACGTCTTTGAGCGAAGTATTTTACTCCCAGTTCAGCCAGTTGCTGGACCAACGTCTCTTCCCTTCTGACCATCAAGCCACTACATGTTACACAAACAGGGGGAGGTCCAGCTCGGCGAGCCTCTAGGCTTGAGCATTTTACCTAACGAGACCGACAATGAAACAGGCTCCAACCCCAAATATCTACAAGCTTGACTTTCTACAAATGCTGCCAGTACTTGCCAACCCAGTCCAGCCACATTCCTCCACATGTTGATCTGACAGGGTGAAGGAGGGAACGCACGCGATACTCAGTGGAGATATGGCTGTCCGACGTAAATCACTTCACTGGAAATCTCTGGCTGATCTGCCGTGAAATGATTTCGGAAGACCGGTCGTCTCTTCCCCCACTTTGCAAAAAAGATGATCCACAAAGAAGAAATTGCCTAACGTCAGAAGCTGAACAAATATTACGTAACAGAAGGCTGCTCTACACCGTTTGATTCACAGTCCAGACTTGTTTTCATTTGAAATCGTCTTGATTTCTATTACCAAAGAAATGCAGAGAGAAAAAACTATTTTCTGTGACTGTCTTAGGATCCTGATTTGCAAAAGTCTGCTAGTAGAAAATATCAACGAATGCTGACAGAACTCCTCATGACTCTTTTTAAAAGCCAGGTAAAGACAAGAAATCTGTTAGTGAAGTGGATTTCTCCAGGATGAACAGTGAAGAATGGATTGGAGGGTACAAGTGGAAAGTACATGGAAGTGTATTTAAAACCAGGAACAGGAGGCACTTCTGTACCCAAAGGGTGGCGAGAGCACGTCACTGAAGCCGAGATACCCTGCTTTCTTTCAAGAGTGGGCTGGATGGGGTCTCTGGATCAATTTACTACCCAACAGACTAAGGCCAACAGGGTGGCCCAGTGGTTAGTGTTGGCACTGCAATATCCTGCAATGTGTCTTGTGTCCCACCAGGAACACCCTGCCCGGCCCACCACACCCGAGGGGCAAGTGCCTATGGAAAATGGATGGATGGAGAGAACTCAGCCTTTCAGGCTGCTGTTTGGGGGGGGGGGTTGATTTCAAAGGTGTGCTGTGAAAAAGGCAGTAAGAGTCTTGTCTCCTTGTAGTTTGACAGCTTCTCCTATCTAGAAATCTTGACGCCCAGGGAGAAGTCAGGATGCATACAAAACAGGAGAATGTGAAATGTGGAATACAAGAAACAAGTACAAAGAATACTACTTAAATCAAATGATGTCATGCTTAAGGTTTTAAAATCTCACCTGAATAACTATTTGCACTTGAAAAAAAATGTAGAACCCCTGATCAGAGCCCTGCTCAATTACACATTTAAATCTCAAATGTAATTGGGGATACAGAACGGGATAAAGTATTTTTACACAATATCTTAGCACAAAATGGCAGTTGGCACTGGTTGTCTTCAGTCAATATCTAGGAATCTATATTAGTTGTTAGCCCTGCTTATTACAAATAACTTATTTTCAAGAGCCATTTGATTTATTTTTTTTTCACAACCAGCCATTTCTGTAAACCCAAACCAGCACATACCTACCTACACATTATCTCGTTAGGAAGTGACATTTTCTGTCCTAAATTAAAAGGAACCCGGCCAAATGCAGCTCAGTCAAAAAAAAAACCTATTCATGCCTCAGCTGCAACGGCACAACACTGTGATTTGAAGGGGACTGAGAATATAAATGCCTGTCAACAGTCACGTCTTCCAGGCATGCTGCGGGCAATATTAAAGCCAAGAGAAGAATCAATAGACGTGAATGAGGGGGGGGATGACATTTTAAATATTAAATTTACACCAGGTTGATCTGTAATCTGTAGAGACTGGACCTAGTCATAGTCATCAGACGGGATTTCACATGTAAACGGTGCAGCAGCACATTCCCTCCTGCGTCTCACATCGTGTCCTTCCACACTGCCATCCATGTTGCTCACATGGATAAGGACCAAGCGTCGTCCGTCTTAACGGCGATCTCGGGATTGCGAATGCTTAATGAGGGCACATGCAAATGACACGGCGCTATGTGGGTGGAGTGCGATAGCCAGCTGCCCCTTGCAGCGAGAGTAGCTCCAGATCTGCAGCCAGCTGTGCTCAAATCAAACCGGAATCGTCCCCCTCCACCCCCCGAATCTGCGGGTCTTTCCATTTGCCTTGCAGGTTGTGTCCGCTACCATACAACGAGAGAAGCCAGGCAGCGACCGCAGACCACCCTGTAGTGCCAACCTACACGGAAACCCAGCTTTAAAGTCTTCAACCGGTAACAAAAAAAAAACAAAAACAAAACCATCAAGCTGATTCCTCACCTGCTCCACCAAAGATCGTCCGCTTTGATTCCCCGGCACTGAACCTGCTCTGTTACCCTTCTGGTTTTCTCAACACACGTCTTAGGTGTGCTAACCGCCCTCCTCCCGCGCCGTGCAATTACTAACAACCCCTTCACAAGCCAACAACTCCCTATCCAGGGCCCTATTCCCAATGCTGGTTTTCCACAGGCTGTTGCATCGGCTATATTCCCCCAACATGGTTTCCAGGCGAGGACAGAGGTAGCCTGGCGCTTGAGGGGGGGGGAGTGACGCTCGGCATGCTTTAATGAAGAACGCCATCAGGAGGAGGAGGAGGAGGAGGAGGAGAGGAAAAACAGCAGCCAGGTAACTCGCTACACACGTCCCGTCCCCCCCCCCACCCCGGTGCAAGCCCGCAACCCGCGCTCGTTGCCCAGGGCGACAGCCCGATCGCTCGACCCGTCCCGCCCGCCTGAAAGCGACGCCTCACCTTGCCCGTCTTGTGGTCGAACCACACCAGAGCGTGGTTCCTCGACAACACCTTGCAGTCGAACGTCGCGTTGTTCTGGGCCGGGCGGCAGCGAGCCACGGAGCGCCCGATCTTGACTGGCTCGTCCAGGTACACATGGCGTTCCTGAAAGGGGTGTGAATTCGGGCGGCAGGTAAAGACAGCCAGCGCTGAAGGCATTGATGATGACTTGGGGGCGTCGCTCCAACCAGACACGAAAGGCGAGGCTGCTTGATCCAGACTGGCAAAAACTTTCGATTCTCCCCCCAATTTCGGTTTCCAAGGAAAAAACCCCCCCAGAAAGAGGCGATTGCGGGGGGGGGGAAAACAAACAAAACAAAAAAAAGGGGGTGCTATACTACATAACGTCTTTAAAAAGATCTAAGTGCAGGCCATCCTTTCATCCGTCAGCAAGAGACCCATTGTGTCATACAAAATCCGCTGCGCTCAGTAATACCTTCTCTTCCATAAAAGTGTTATCCCACTTGCAGGCACCGCCAAAGCCTTGCTCATCAGTCAACATTGAGGGACTTGATCTTAAGACAAATGTACCCGATTCCCCAAAGGTACCGATAAAAAAAAAACAAGATCGCTGACTCGCAGTGTCGAGTGTCACGCGTGAAGATTTTTACACATTACAGGATCAAAGATGATCATTTCACCTACGCGCCCGGTGATTAAGACTCCTCATTGAGGGAGACTTAGCTCGACCACCTCATCACCCTCCCCGATCTCCACCGGCTAAAACCCCCGTCACCCCCTGAGTGTTAGTTTCTCGTTGTTTCAACACAGGCGTTAGGCCAAAAATAAACACACACACACAAGTTATCGCACAAATCCAGGAAAAAAAAAAGGTATTTCCCCTCTTCTGAAATACCACATTAGCTGTGAGGCTCATTTACCACTCCCCGTTTCAGAACAGCCCGAGTGTTAAGTCAGCTTCAGCACATTCGTCTGTGGCAAAAAAATGCGCATTTCTTCCTCCTTTTACGACCAGATACCGACGAGAGAAACAATTCCGTCTCTTTGACAGTTTCTACTGCATGCCTGAGTTTATAAATCCCCCAGCTGCCCCGATGGGCCTTACTCGTGAAGTGAGCTTTAAAAACAAAAAAAATCCTTTTCACTCCCGGGAGCTGTAAGCGGGGCTGCAGCGCAGTGAACTTTCCTGACCCGAAAATCAAAACAAATCCCCTCCTTTTTTTTATAAGCAGACGCGGAAATTTTAACACGAAAAAAGCTTTCGCTGCCGCTGTTGTCTTCTTCCGTGGGATCTGGAACAAATTTCGCGTTAAGCCATAAAGTTACCTTGGCGTTCAGGAAGGTCCCGTGGAAATTGCAAAACACTCTGCCGGCAGCAGTATTACTGCCCACCCCGGTTAAACTGAGGACAGACCCGGACGACTTGCCCTCCTCCTCTAGTAACAGCCGCCATACTGGATATGAGAGACACACTCAGACCGGGCTGCGTCGCACTCAAGCACGCGACTGGCTCAACGTCGTAAAGAAGGGGGCGTTAACCGAGGGCTGAGACGGACAGGTCCTCCTCCAATGAAGCGCGAAGCTTCGAAAGCAGTAAACCAATGACAGCAAAGCAGGAGACGGAGGTTCCTTCTAGCTGTTGTAACGAGGTGGTTGGAGTGGACACGAGCCAATAAGAATTCCGGATATGAATGCTTGGTACGCCCAATAAACGCCCAGGGTTATGTGCTGAGGAAAATGCGGAGCGTTTTTTTTTTATATGTAGCAGCTCTGTTGCAACGTCATGCTATCGGATCTACGTCGGTGTGGGAAAAGTAGTTGTGGCAGTCTGCTATTTGCACATTAAAATGAATCGAGTTGAAATTAATAGTTTCAAAACAGACAACAGGTTTACAATTGAGATATTTCGAGTTCATGAAAGCTCAAGTCATTGAAGAAAATGTTCATAGGCATACCGGATAAGACTGCTCACATAATTAAAAAAATGCTTAATAACAATGGATGAACCCTTTCTTTCACAAGGGGACTTGGCTCCATATAAAAGTGTGCTATTTTTATAGTTCAGAGTAGATTGAAATTAAAATAAATATAAGTTTAAAAACGAATCTCTAAGTATTGTAACGCTTACGGCCGACAGGCACTGTGTAAGAGCCGGCGTACCAGAGCGGGTGACGTCACCGCCCTTCCCTGTGATAGCAGGACCACAGCTACTGGGCTGTGGAGAGATCTCTCTTTGGCTCACGGGGCTAGGTCGCTGCAGAGAGACGCGGAAGTCCCGGGTTCGAGCCCCGGACGGTGCAGGGGCCGACCTGATGCGGCAAGGGCGCCCGCCTGAGCCCCAGTTGCGTTACAGTATATATGTTGGAAACAAACCCAATAGGTTTCCGAATATAAAATAGCCAGGAACTACTAACTGAATGAATTCAGTGAGCGCTAACCTCTCCAGGAGTCTGCTTTCATATAGCTCGAAGTAAAGGGGTATGGACTAGTGTGTTGATAGAAACAGCTGTCACACCAAATGGGGTTGCCTAGTTAGGGTCTAATATCACCCTGGACAGGCTAAGCCTATTGCTTTATGCTGTGTCTCTAAAGAGAATTAAGGGATTTATTCCTTTCTAAATGTAATTAATTTGACCCGCAAGCAGTCAAATACAATCATTTCTTTTGGATTTACGCTTTTCAGGGAAGTAGAGGTCAAGGTAAAAAAAAAAGCCTATTTCATTCTCCCTCCCCCCCACACACAATTATCAGTAGTCCCTGTAGCTCTTAAAATCTGTAATGGCTGAAATCTCTCTGTAATAGGAATTCCATTTCCATTCTTTTCATTCTCTGTCGAAATACATCACACACAGTCTGAGCTCTGTAATCCAGACCCTGCCATTTGGAGTCACGAAGCACAGTCTCCTATGCTGAAACAAAGGCATCCGCACCTAGGCCAAGCTGATTGACGACTGACAATTGACGAGCTGCAATTTCTGAAACAAGTTCTGTTTTCACGGCAGCCCGGTGCCCTAGTGGTTCAACAGTTTCTGACCCAGTGGTTAATTGGCTTCTGGGAACATTGGCCCTGGTGTGAGTGGAGTTTGTGCGTGTCAACAAAAAGGAAATCGTTCCATCTATGGCCATCTTAATGCCTTTTCAGAACAACTGTGCACTTCAGAGCTGTCTCAGGAGAAAGGCATGTGTTCCACTGCTGTCATCTCATTCTTTGCAAAATCAATTTTTGCAAGAGCAATTCACAGTAACAGAGGACGTGAGGAAGGGTGTTGTGTATGCACATTTATTTGTTTCTTAGCGATCATATCAGGAGAAGGATATTTGTAACCAAGATCCCTTCCACTGCTTACAAGGATGACTGGTCAAGGAGCAACGGTTGGACCAGCACTGGTATTAAGCAGGTTTGTTTGGTGCTCAATTGTAAGTGGTTATCAAAAATGAACTTTACATCTTTGTTTGTAAAAATGATGTATAGCCCCTCATTATAGTTGATAGCATTGGTCCAACATAGGCCCTTCATAGTTAAATTATTTGGGAACGTGATCTGTAATGATTCCAAGGCCGAGACGATGAATCTTTGGGCTGTTCCCTTTAAAAGCCATCTCAGATGGAAAAGAGAGCAGTGAGACCTCTAATTGAGCAGGCGCAACTTGTAATTATTGGATAGAACTATGCACTGATGTCACTCTGTCTTTGCCAAAGCTGCAAAAAGCAGAGTTCTGATACAAACATAGAAGCATGAGATTTAATCTTAACACATATTCCCACAAGCTTATAAGAAGAGAAACTGCACTGAATGACTACAAATCATCTAGCAGTCTGTTGTTTAACGATCAAATGTGGGCTCTCTGTGATCATGTAAATATGGTTCACTAACCTTGTCATGTGTAATAAGGTACGACAGAAGAAAAATAGGTTCAGCTTACTTTTTTGGGTAATGAAAACAACTGTTTGTCAGCTGGGAGCATTAAAAAGGCAGAGAGCATTATGGGTCATGGTAAATTGTTATGTCAGGCTTAATATGGGAAGATCTTGCAAATATTTTGTTGCTCAAAGGAATAAAGGTGGAGCAAGAAGAGATAGGAATCATAAAAATGTATTTATCTACTTAAGCCAAGGTAGCCCTTTTTTCCTCAAAATAAGCATTACAGACTCTAATATGGAGCCAGGCAATTTTAAAGCAGGAATGATTTGTTAAAATCCATTGAAAAGCATTTACAACACAGTATGCCCTTGTTAAACTTTTTGTGATCTCTGTCTCAAACATGAGATGAGCATCTCTACGCCCCAATCAAGGTTTGATAAAATTATGTACAGGATAGCATATTTAATATATCTTTTAATGGGAGTATTCAGTCTAAATTAATCAATTTATTACCCAACTCCAAATTCTGATGTTTGATCATGTCTGAGCAGTGGAAAGACGTTGATTTAACTAGTGTGCTGGTGGAAGAGTAAGGTGAGCAGGTGACCGAGGCACATTTTGGCTTAGAGTTTTAGGGAGTTGATGAATGACTAGGGGCTTATATTCAACTCCAAAATTAAATCTAACTTGCACATATCACTATACTATGGTGCAATGCTGAGAATCTTAGGAAGATTAATTTTACTGGCTGGTCCTCTTGTTATCTTTTAGTAAAATATGAAATCTTTAAACATTTTTAAGGATTTCATAACACTGCAATTATTTTTTTTTCAGGCAAAACTGACTTCTTACAATCCAGAACCCTCCCATAAAAACTGGACAAACTTTAAAGGAGAGGTTATAAGTCCAGTTATGTTTATTTTGAGTGATGCTCTGTTGTCATTGTGAAAATTGTGGAAAATGCAGGAACTTAAAAACAAAACAGCACTTATAAGCATTGTACAGCGGGTATTTAATTGGATAATGAACTCCTGCAGTTGCTCAGACGGACTAAAAGAATGAAAGTATTGTCGCTTTTACAGAAGGCTTGACCTAATTGCATTAAGATCTGAAAAATATTGTGATCATTTGGCCATGCTGAACTGGAATATTGAACAGAAAGGATTTACACATGGAGGGTGAAGGCTATGAGAGAAAGGAAATTGGGAGGATCCCAGAAAAAGATGAAAAAATATGTTTTTTAAAAAGCAATTTAAAAACGATTTGATTATGGGTATTCCATCAGTTTTGTTATATAGTGTCTGTTTACATTGTAGTGACTAACTGGCATATTTGCAGATTAATTCTTTGTCGGTTTTTAATGAGAAATTCACATTTTTGTAATAATTTGATGTTGTAAAGTCAAAGATCAAGCATGAATGAAGTCACCGAATAAAATCAGTTTTAATAAGTTAGCTGAGGCATGATTAGAGTTTACGGGAGAAATTGAATCTCATACCACTTGAGGGAACATTCTGTCGTTCGGATGACAAAGAGACTTTTTGCATTTTGAAGCATTGCCTGTTGTCTGCTTTTTGAGAGCCTTGAGTTACTGTGGCTGCCTGTTATTGTGCAGAACAGAAGAGTGGCACTATTGCCAAGCGTTGTGCTAAAGCCATTAAGGAGCCATTAATTGCTGCCTTGATTCTTTATCTACTGAAACCAAGTCTGTCTGAACAATTTCATCATAGCAGGGCTGCATTCCAGTGATGTTTCAGCTGGGGCCCTGTTGAGGAACTACCTGGAATCTAAAACAATGAAACCAGTCTCCAAATTAGCGGTATTTTAAGTCCTTTCGTTCATAAGCAGATTACTGCAATATGAGTTTCAGACCTTTACAAAACATAAGGCTACAAAAGGCACCTGATATACACATTTTATACCTGACTATCTAGGTCTATGTTTATGGTGAAAGCTTAGTAATAGATAACGAGTAAATTCTTACACTGACATTGACAGTAGAACAGTCTGCAGAGAATTTGCAAAAATAAAGCACTTCTTTTCAGTGGGAAACATATGAAGAATCTGATTTCTGTTTATGTTGGGCAGCTTTAAAATACAGCTGTCAAACCTACCAATTTTATGATGTTTTAGAGATTAAGGGGCTGAACGTGCAACAGAGAGCACAAACGTCAGAGGTTGCAGAGATCCAATGATTCTGCTTATAGAAAAACTGAAGAGGAGGCTGTGCTGGGACGTTGATCAGAAAAAATGCCATTTATGGTCCAGAATCATGCCTATTTCAAGGCAGATGTAATTTAAGAGCTGACCTCTGGATGAAACAGGCCTCCAGCCTTTAAAGGCATAGTAATTATAGGAAACTGTCACAATAGACTGCAGTAGCTGTGCTCTTTAGTCTTTGTTGCATTGTCTTATGTTTCAGATTAATATTCATTTTTCTTTTCATAATCAATAAAATGGGTTATATTGTACTTTGTACCTCTCGTTTTTTAAGAATACCTTCACTGTGAACCAAAGTCACCAATGAAGGTTCAAAAGATATGACATACCGGTAGGTATCACCATATTTACCGTTTCAAAAATTTAGATGACAGGCAGCCACAGAAAAGGCTCAACCTCTGTCATCAGTTCAAGTAAAATAATGTAATGCTCTGCATCACACAGCTAGCTAAAATGTCCCAATTCCAAGACAATTTCAACCATAATCTACTGTGAGCTTTCCATATGCATGATTATGCTAATACTTTATGGTTATATGTCTGTCTGTATCTGAATATTGTGTAGTCCTGCCTTCAATACAGTCATGCATTCTGTGGACTAGGAGTATATAAATGGTAGTTATAGCAAAGCCAAGAATGGGAGTAGTTGAATATTATTATTGTTTCACATAGCATATAGAGGGAGACTTAAAAATTAGATAGTAATACAGAAATACAAAGCCATCTAAATACCTGAAGAAAATAAAAATAGAAATGACCAAAAAAAAATAAAACAAACAAAATTGATACAACAGAAAACACTTCTGTTGTCAATTTTTTTTTCTGCTAACCTCAGATACTTCTGGTTACTGTTTGTTTTTTCGCTGCCAAGATGTGCATTTCTCTTGAATTTTTTGGAAGGCTGAGGTGAATCCTGACTCCATTCGTGCCTAGAAGGAGTTATTTTTTCTTCTCCTTCACTACCGCACAAAAAGCACGTTCGATTACTATGTTGAATAATTCGTGGAGTCAATACTTTGCAGTTGTAACACAGGTTCGTGTCTCTTTAACTCAGAGGGCGTTCCAGCGTTCGGTAACCTTCCCACGTTACGCATCGCAAACTGCTGATGCGGCGCATCTTACGTCGCTTTCTGGAGTCTGGGGCTTTGTAGCTTGAATTACAGGATTTGTGTTGGGTTCACCGGGGAATTGGGTGGAACTATTGATCCGGAGCGAGGGGAACCCCCATCAAGCAGTTGCTAAAGTGAAAGTGATATGGCCTTGCAGGGTCAGGAAGAGATCGGAGAGCAGATCGAGGAAGCTGGAGACCCTCAGCAAGATGTCAGCATCTCCCCAGTGGAGCAGCAGCCCGAAGGGCCCGAAGTGGAGGTCGGAGACCAGCTGCTCCTGCCCTGGGATCGCTTCTCGGCTTGGCTGCACTGCATCTGTGTGGTGGGCTTCGATCTGGAGCTCGGGCAGGCGGTAGAAGTAAGACTGGTCACCGGCGTCCCTTCTCTGTCAGTTCCCCTCGCTATGTTTTGCGCCTGGTTCTCTCGACTGCATCCACATTAGATGGGGGATTTTTTTTAATTGAGTGAGCATTGCCTCCATAAAACGAAACAGGCAGAACTCCTCGAAAAGTTTGGGGCTGTAACACCAAAACGACAATTTTAAACGCGAAACCGTCCGAAAGACTTAGATCCGCTTAGTAGCCCATTGGATAGCAGGCTGAGGGTGCACCATATTTACTTTTCAACCGTGGCTTTTTCAGCAGAACAGTGTTGACGCAACCGCTAAATTGTCCCGGTCTCTTTTGATTCGTGAATTAAACCTGCTGGATTTAGAGGGAAGTGTAAATTTCGATTCGTGACAGCGAAACTGTCAGAACAAAGACCAGAGTTATTTTTATAATGCTACTGTATCTTAGTGAGCTATGAACAAGGCCATAACCCTTTGTTTAACTTGGTTCCAAGTGGCCAAGAACAGCTGTTTTCATAGAGCCAGTATGGGAACAGTTTTCCTCGAAGAGACGTTTGAGGATATGCAGAACATTTATGAATAAAGTTTCACCTCTCGGAAATTAGTTGTAGTTATTTAAACGGGGGCACCGTGTGCCATTTCTGACCGGTTTTATAATGATATGTAGTGTATGCATACATCTGAAGCAAACATCCTAGTTTGACGGCTTTCCAAGTGTTAGAGATAACCTTAAATTGCTTCTTTGGTGTGAACTGCAACCAAATGCTTTCCTTTACGTTCGATTACTTTTTTGTTTTGCAAATTTGACATGCATTTTTAACTCATGATAGCCTGAATAAATGTCAGGTGACTCGTCCTCTGCTTTCTCTTTATAAATGCGAACTTTTTTAAGAAGACTGTTTTGCAGGGTTATATGACTGCCTCTATGAAATTGACTTTTGAATGTCTGTGGTACAGACACTGTTGTAGGCCGCAGGCATTCAGTTGCTGCGATTTCTGTGATGACTTCTGAACGTTTTGTATCAGTGTGCAAGAGTTTCAGACCATAAACATTTGTAAAACGTCATCATTTTTAAAACAATAAGTGATGCAAAGAATTGTCTCACTACGAAAATGATATAATAGCGCCCAGTGCTCGTTTTTAGATATCCCACATAACGTTTGGTGTTTAATTTGACTTTGTAATTCAATCCTGACTGTTGGGCATCTACTATAGATACTGTGGTAAATACCCCAGGGTGGTTTATGAAAATGTAAGATTCTCTTTTAATTTCTCTCCTGTAGGTTATTTACCCTCACCATTCCAACCTGACGGACAAAGAGGTCAGTCTTTGGACCATGTTGGTTATGTTTGGTTTATATCTGTGTTTTGGTTGACATTGTGGAGTTACACAGGTGTTTTTGTTTTCTTCACAGAAAACCAGTATTTGTTACTTGTCTTTCCCTGACTCCAACTCAGGTAAATCCTATACTTTTTTTGTGGTTTATTCTATAGTAAATCTGTCTCGGTATTATAAAAAGCTTTGTTTTTTTTTTGTAAACCACCATATGCAGTATTTACCCCTTCATTTCACTAAGTCTCATTATTGGTTGCTTTGCTGTGCTTGAAACAAGCTATACTTCTGTTATTAATCAATACAGTATGCCTCCATGCATACAAAATATTTGGAAACATCGTACAAATCTGAAAACCACTTTAATCATTATAGTTAAGTCAGTTGTAAATCAGAAATATTAGAAGACAGTGGATATTCTAGTACAATACAGCTAAGGTTAGTTATCAGAAGGAGGCTCTTATTTGAATGAATCATGGTATCAGACTCAGCCAATCCTGCTCTGTTTTTCCTCCATCAGCTATCTGTTCCCAATGTCCTCTGCTCTGCTACTCACTTGTGAAAAGCTGGTTGATGGAGAGAAGTGTGACAAAGCTTTTGATGTAATGACATCACTGCATGGCACACGTAATGTGCCCGAGAGTGTGGTCTGCAATTGCCAATAGAGTGACCTCAGTCCGCACCCAGACCTCTTCTGCCAGTCCTTAACTAGTGTGTTATATAGACTTGTGATGCAAAATAAGAAAAAAAATCATCACATGGCTGGTGATATAATCTGTTTTGGTTAGCACAGAGGTTAGCATTGCTGCCTTGCAGCACTAGGGCCCTGGGTTCAATTCTGGACCTGGGGGAGCTATCTGTGTGGAGTTTGTATGTTCTTCCCTTGTTTACATGAATTTCCTCTGGGTTCTCTGCATCTTCCCACAGCCCAGAGACATATTGGTTGATTTTTTGGCTACTGGGAAAACTGGTCCTGGTGTGAGTGTGTGCTTTGAGGCGGACTGGTGTCCCGTCCAGGGTGGGTGTTTGGTTGACATTGGCGTTGCTTGCCGAGGTAGGTTCTGGCTCCCCTGTGATCCTGTATTGGGTTATTTGTTTAGGAAATGGTTAGGAAATGGATAATGTGTTTTTAACAGTTAGAGTGTGTTGTAGAGATTCAGGCCCTGAGCATATAAATGAAGGGAGGTGGAGTCCCATTTCCAGTTTAGACACTATCGCTTTAGCCTTCAGGCTGGGAGCTTAAATTTGATTGCCGTAGTTATTCCAGCTGTGCAACTGTGCAAAAAAAAAAACATGGGAGAGAAGCTTGCAATGGATTAGTACCCCATTCAGAGAGATGCTTGCACTCACAGCTCATTCAAGGTCCAAGAAACCAGAGCACACACTGACACTAGAGTTTGCCAAGCACTTTAACTAACCTCTACGTCACAGGGATTGCTGTGTTACCGTGCTGGTAAAGACGGTCTCCACCAGTAATGACTAAAGAGGATTAATCCACGGACGGGCCCAGCCTGCCCTACATTTAAAAATTGAAACGCTGTTTATTTGAGAAAGTTACCTGGAGTAAGGACTGTGTTTTGTAAAGTACGAACATTCTGTGTGTTTACTGGAGCTTTCAATAAATGTTCTGACAGGGAGATGTTGTTCTTTGTGGTTTAGCAAAGTCACACGCAGGTGGTTTGTCAAGGCTGTCCCAGAGCTAACTGAAGTAACAGGTGCACCAGAATGATGTAGAGCACCTGCACTGTCTCTTTTATGTGTATTAGTTGGACTTGCACTTTCAGGAAGTGAGTGGGACAAGTGAATACAGCATGAGTTTCTGGCCTCAACTACATTTCCCAGAAAGCTATGGGGGAATGTTCCGCCGCCCTTGGTCAGCTGACCAGATGCTAGAAGGCGATTGGTCAGGTGATGATTTAAAATCAGAAAATGGAAGGAGAGCTGCTAACGTCTCTGCATCTTCACCTCATAGCCTAGCTCCCCCTAGAGTCAGTGGTTAGGACTCTGGACCACGCGGTCATGGGTTCAAATCCTTGATAATACATTGTATCTTTAAGGAAGAATCTATACTTCACTCTTCTGCTTAAATAGGTGTTCTCCATGCTGTGGTAACATTGTAATAATAATGTGTACTCAATTCATCTAATTAATATGAGATTAAATTACAGTGACTAAAAACACTGTTAATCTTAATTATACTTTCTTTGCAAAAGTCATAAAAAAACATTTCATTCTGGATTAACAATAGCAAGGTTTTTTTATATTGGGCCACTTTTTGTAACAGCAGTGTATTCACGGATGTTGTATTAGAAATTGTAAGAAAGAAAACAACTATTTGCAATCGGAGCAGTTCAGAAAATGTTTTTGGAAAAACCCGCAGTGTTTGCTTTCACCTGCATTTCCATCTTCAAAGGTGCGGAAAACAACCACTTAAACGCCGTTAATTCCTGAAACGCAGATTGTAGGAAGAGCTGCAATGAGACGGAAATAATGCAGCAGATGGAATGTGTTCTTCGAGGGAAGGGACAGTGTGGCATTGTGTTGAAAAGACCGAGAGGGATGCTGATAGGCACTTGGAGATCTATTTGAAGTTCAGACGCAGGAATGACTCATACCATTTCGTTTTCAACAGCGACACTTCGTCTCCTTGCTTGGCGATAAACGTCTTTCAGCATAGGGGCCGTAAATGTTTGGGTCATCAGGCTTGAGCCAGCACTGGTTGTGTCAGCTGGCAAGCCTGTGATGACATACACTTCAGCGTTTGTGACTTCATGTATATTGGATAAAAATATATCTTGTTTTACCCTTGACAGACCTATATTAGAATCACGGTGCTGTGGGGAAAATGATGTCTGCAACAAAATGAATTACCAAATGCATAGGATGCCTGACCAGTCCTTCCCAAAGCTGTCAACAAGGACTTTGAGATTTTGGCATCCAAGCACAGGTGTTCCAGATTCCCTAAAACAATTAATACCTTTAGGGGCTTATAAGTCTGCTCAGTTATTTACCCAGACCTTTTCTGCCAATCCATTACTAGTGCATTATAAAGACTTGTGATGCCACATAAGAAAAACATTATGTTACTAATATTAAGTTACTATGACAAATTACAGTTGTCATAGTAACTTCCTGAAGGAGTTGTCAGGTTTCCACTCCGATTGGGTAACTGTTGCTCTGTGAGGCAAAGAGTCAGAGCTTTGGAGCTGAGTTTCACTCGTTCATCTGTCAGACAGATAAGTCTCTGCAGTGTCCTTGGAAACATGTCCCAGGCAGTTAAGAGCATTTAGTCTGTACATTGAAAGCCTTTATATTTTCGTTTTTCTGGTTTATGGTGATAAGGACATCACATAGACAATGCAGCAAAGACTCTGGCCGGCCTGGTATTCTGGTCTGATAGACAGGTTCCTGCTGGTCTCCTGGTCGGAGCTAAGGGGATCTTATTATCATGGTCCATCTTGCGACAGATGGTATAGGCAGAGGTGCGTGTTGTGTTTGAATATAAACATGAAGACTTAGGTTTCAAAGATTAGTATTATTAGAAACTCGGTGACTCTGTGATAGTTTATTTTGAAATGTTACCAGTAGCTTGTGTTGGTGCAGGACATTTCTGCAGACAGAAATGACAAGATGTCATAAATCGGACCTATACAAGCGAGATGGTCAAGAAGCAAACAAAAAGAAAATACACAAAGAACCAAATGGTATATGAAATAAGGAACAGGTAAAGGTTTATTTACCCAAAAAGAAAAAGAGACACAAAGTTTTGGCTGTGGAGCCTTCTTCAGGTGCCAAGTGTGGGAAATACACTGATCTGCAGACACAAGTCAAGAAAAATCCAGCAGCGGTTATGAGACATTTCAGAATAAATATATCCATGGATGCCAACACTAATGCTAAGGGCTTCTTTCACAATTACTGTCGCAAAGGATCAGTAAGGGAAGAGGTCATGTGTCTGAAAATACCACTGCTTTATTATAAAGGCAGACATTTTCAGTGCTCTTTTTCGAGTGCTTTTTAAAATTCTACAATGTTTTAGTTAGAGCGCACTTAGAATATTGTGTTCAATTTTAGTCGCTACACACCAAAAAAAGGTTTTGTTTCTTTAGAGGCAGCACAAGGAAAAATAACCAGAGCAATTCCTGGTCTGAACAGAACATCATGCTCAGACTGCCAAAGAAAATTAGTCTTCTGAATCTTTGGCGACTTGAAGCAGCTGTCCAAAATCCTGAAAGACATTGGCCAAGTCAGTGCAGGGGACTTTTTCAAGATCAACAGAAACACACGCACCTGGGGACACCAGTGGAAACGGATTTAAGGAGCATTCAAGGAAGAAAACAGAGACATAGAGGATTGTGTAGGTCTGGAAACAGATCCCATATCATGTGACTGATTCTGAGTGTGGGACGTTTTAAGAAAGGGCCACATCAAGATTCTTAATTCACCAAAGCTACTAGCAACCAAATGAGCAAGATGGGTCAAATGGCCTCCTTTTGTCTGTAACCCTTCTTGTGTTCTTGCCTCTTAATTTTATTCATGGCTGTGTGCCACAGAGAGTTCCTAATAAATATGCAAAAGGCTCTTACTTTGACACTTGACTAAAACACATTACGGTTGTCATAGTAACGTACTGAAGGTGTTATCAGGTTTCCACTCCGCATAGGTAGTTGTTGCTCTGTGATGCAAAGAATCAGTGCTTTGGAGTTGAGTTGCACTCTTTCATCTCTCAGACAGAGAAGTCTCTGCAATGTCCTTTGAAACAGGTCTTTTGAAGGTTGTGGCGTATTGCATTTTTTTTCATCTGATGGCACACTGAGTAGGTGCAGAGGGAAGGTAGATATGTTGAAACTAAACTTTAAGACCTCTTCCAAGGGACGTTTGGAGTGACAGTCACCTGTGTATCTGTCAGTTATTCCAAACTGCTCTTCAAGGGGGCTTTTAAGTGTCTCAATAAAAAAGTCAGTAATGAGGATTCTTAATGCATTTCCTCATTCTGTTCCTGTGTAGGGAGAGCAGTCGTTGCTCTTTGGTGTGATGTAAAGAAACAATTTCAAACTGAATGGATCTAAAATGTAAAATGCAAAAAAAACAAACACAGACTGATCTTTAAAATGCATAGTACAGGACAATAAGGATAACCAATATTATCAGGAAACTGAGACTTGAGGTAATTATTTTAATACGGGCGTAGGGTATTTAAGACTTTTAAATATCTATTTTTTAATATCAGCTGTTTCAGATAAACAACAGAGTGGCCAGTAAATGTGAGTATAAAAAGCAGAATTCTGACTTTCCATCAGAAAAATTAATTATTTTCACCCTCCTTTCATTAGTGGAGCAACAGAGTTAAAAATATGAAATTTTTTGGCTGGTGAGCTGAAACTAAATGTTTTTTTTGGTGCTATGTTAACTTTTGCTTTCAATTATTAAAATCTGCAGTTACTTTTCTTCAGGAAATACTTAATCTGTCTTTAAATTCTCTAGGGGACATTTTAATGTTTATTCAGTTTGACATTATACCATCAACGTGAGGCTTTTTTACTGCATTAGGGGCACTTTTGCCCTTGAAGACTCACACCACCGGTGTTTTCACACTGTAAGACGCCCCTTGCACAGGGCCCTAAAATCAAATGTTTAAAACAAAAGTGTGCTTTCATTATGCTCCAGATAAATGGGGAAAGCTGAACAAAAGTTGTGGTTTGCTGAGGTGAGGAGTGTGCTCTGAACAGATGGGACAGCTGTAGAGGCTCTGTTCCAGAATGTTAATGAAGTGCTTGCAGCTTCACCTGAAAAGCCTGCCTATAGTTGGTTAGGAACAGAAGGAGACCTGTGTCTTGTGAAGTATTGTTTTGATCCTAAACCCTGAAAACGCAAAGGAGCTTGTTACTTGCAAGTGGTGTCCTCTGGGATAAATGGCTCATTCAATTAAAATCAGCAACTGGGCTAGTGTTTCGGTAAGGATAATTACCCGAGGAAAGAAATCTGTATTTGCATCCATGTTGTCCTGTCACCTTCAGTCCCGTTGATGATAGGAAATAGCCAGAAGCCAAACTTCCCCATAATTAACCTACTGGGGTCGTTTGTCTGGGTAGATAGGTTTGAACAGTAAAGCTGACTGCCTGGTGAAGAACCAGTATTCTCCTTTTATACCTTTTCCATGTCCTCACCCTGCACTAAACATGCTTGTTTTACAGTCTTCCTTTCTGATGCTGGAGGACACTTACTTACACTTGTATTTGTGGGTTTTAATTTGGTTTGTTGTTCTGTGAAAACTTCAGTACAGTTACAATGCTCCAGTTTATCACAAATTATCTACCAGCAAAAGACCAAGCCTTATAAGTCAAGTGGTACAGTGTGTTGTTGAATGCACTGCTAGATTATTCTGGAACTTCCTTCAGTAATTGCCTCAGACCTGAAATATCTTTATGCACTTCAGATTGTGCCAAATGAATATTGATCAGATTTGACTCATTTTAACAGAAGAGAAAACTTTTTTTTTTGAATGAAATGAGAGTGGGGTATAATGTGCTGTGAATCTGTCCTGGTGATTTCTTTTTGGCAAGTAGTGCAGTGGGGAAACTAATTTGTGCTGCGCGCTGCACTAATGATCCAAATGCAAGTGCAAGACTTTTCTGCCTGCACAGCCAAGCTTTTTTTTTCTGGAATGCGGTTTTAGAGAAGATCTCTAAGAGAGGAGGGGATATACAAGAGCACACACGCTTGGATATGAAACTAGGACGAAATTAGATTTGCCTGCAAATGTAATGAGCCACTCCTTAAGAACTGGATTGTAGCCGAAATTCCTACCGCATAGTTATGACTTTACTTTTGAAAGCAGTAATTGTTCGATGTTAAAAGGGCCAAGATTTTAAATGCTTTGCGAAAGGAGCATTCCTTGTTTTATTTTGCTGGACTTCATAGTGAGTTGGAAAAGTGTGATAACCCCCCCTGGCACTGCAGGGAGGTCTTTCCAATAGACAGCTTGTAATGCAACACTGTACTGTGACTGTTCTGCTAGAGTAGGATTTGTCAGATCTGCTAACAGCTGTTTTTTGTTCCCTATGATATTTCTAAAGACAGCAAGTCCTGAGGAAAAAAATGGTGAATTCCTCAGATTGCTTTGTATTCTCATATATTTGAGATGTAAAATGTAATTAAGTTTTCATGAAAGTGTTAATAAAAGATGAAGAAGATTTCATTTAAATGTGTAACACAAAGACACAAGATATTTGGATTATTTATTTAACAATGATTCAGCAGTAAATATCCTCATGTGAATGAATATGTGATCCCTTAGATTCAGTAACTCAAGCAGCAACAGCTTCAAGCTGAATGTTTTCTGGAACTGTTTATCAGTCTCTCTCATTGGCTTTTAGGAATTTTGGTCCAATCTTCCTTATAGACGTTCTTCACGTTTGTGACAATTGAGGGTTTCCTTGGAAGAACAGCTCGCTTCAGGTACTGGCCTAGCATTTCAATGCAGATAGTCCAAAACTTGACCAAAGTTTTGTCCCAGGTGAAAAAGTGTAGATCCGGTCTGGTCTTGTGGATCATCTGGATGTTCTGTGGTGATCTTGAGATGGGTAGCAGTGTTCTCGTAGAGAGTAGTGGTTTCATTCTGGCTGCTCCTGAAGGTTGTGGCCTGAACATTGACAACAATCATTCTTCCAGGGTGTGGATGGAGCCCTGGAAGTTTAGAACTTATTTTGTTACCCTCTCCAGACCGATGAGCATCAACCGTTTTTCAGAACTCCACTGAAATCTCGATTGATTGTGGCAAATCAATGCGTTTAAACTAACCTTTATGGTGAAGCCTAAACTCTTGAAGATTCTGGTCATTATATAGGACAGGGCTGCCCAAGATTAGTCCTCGTTTACCTGTTACTCAGCTGTTTAGCCACCTGATTCTCATTACCTCCTTAACTGTGCTTGGTAAACTAGAAATTCACTTATTATTTCACATTCACTGTTTCTTATTTTTTTCTAATTCGTTCACCCTTGCATCAAAGAAAAACATTAAATCGTTGACTATAAACCATTTTGGTTATTTAGCAAAGGACAGGTTTCGATTAAACAAGGGTATCATGATCAGATAAGATGATAAGAATCATGAAATTCCCCTAGTTATATTGAAGGTTCACCAACGTTTTCTTGGCACTGTAGCTTACAATTAGTCAGCCAGGGAGCCTTAAGAAACCTGAAAGGTTACTTAGCAGATAATTTTAACATGGCCTTGGAAATACTCTGGTCGGAACTGTTTTGCTGTATGCTAAAGAGGTGTGCTGGTTTCCATAGAAACATAGTCCTTGGCACAGGCCTGAGGCTCTCCTATGCTTCAGAGCCAAGCCTTTGTTGTTGTTTTTTAATCCCAAGTACAATAGGTTTGATTAATGTTTTGTGAAATATTTAAAAAGTAAAGGACCAACTGACACTTCTGGCACTTTCAATCTCTTTTTTTTTACCATCTATTTCACCATTGGACACTTGTGTCCTTTTTTCAAATTGTTTGTAGCATCTTAACCTTTTAACACTCTGTGAGTTATTTTTCAGGTGACCGTTTTTTTTATAAGAATACAGCATTGATGAGCAGAATCATTTTTGATGCTCCAAGGGTGGCAGTATGCTAAGAAACAGTTTTATAAATGTTATCCTGTACAGTTTTATCTGTGGTAATGTTACTCTAACAGGTAGTATTTTCTGAATGTTTATTATTAGAGATCTACATGCTTGTTCCTGCTAGCACATGAAGAGTTTGTCAGATAGGCCACAGCAAGGTTGCTTTGTGTCCTCAAGGCAGTGTGTAGTGCACTTTCAAAACCACACCTGTTCTCATACCAAATGTAGCCTGATTTGCCAGAATTGGCTTTGTGGAGTATTTATTTGCTCTGCTTTCTTTCCATGTCTGTCTATGGGGCATGTCGGCTCAAGTTAGTAATGTTTGCTTGAACAGAAAGCAGGGCAAAAGTTATGAGCAGCAAAGCTACTTTGAAACATGAGAGCTGACAAAGTAACATTAGCTGTAAATTACCCTCAATTACAGAAAGATGGATTTGTTTCTAAATTAATTCCATCACTTGTTAGTGATTGCCTAATTCTGATTGATGTTTTTTTTTTCTTGACGATGTTCTTACTGTATGTGGGTTTATGCAATGGTTCAGATAAACAAAGGTCCAGTTTTTTTCTGAATTGATCTGAAATGATGTATTGTACCATCAAAGAGATGAATTGATGATAATCGGCTTGTATTTGTGTGCCGGCAGACAGAACTGATGTACACCAAAAGAGGATTATATTTGTTTTTCTGGTAGTGTTGAGAGGTTAGTGGGCTACTCAGGAGGCACAGCTAAATAAATGTGGATGAACAGGATTAAAGATCTTCTTTGTTGAGTAAGTGTTGCTTTTTATAGAGCCCAGATTCCTTCTCTCTCAGGGAGCATTGGAGATCAGGGATGCTGTAATTTATCCCTGTTTCCCTGTTGGAGCACTTAACTAAGCGCAGCCTGTCTGCAAGTAGCATATTCTCTGTTCTTGTGCTACGGTATAGACCTGTTTCTCTGTGGTACCGACTGTCTTGATTCTTTGTCTTTCTCTACTCCCTGTAATACTACAAGTACCCTCAGGTCTTTATAAAATGTAGGCAGACTGGTGGGTCATTCTTATTCTGCTGTTGTGCATGCCAGGGAATAGGTTATATTTCCTGTTCACGCAGATCATTTTTTAACTCTCTTTTTGAGGGCAAGACTAGAAAGAGGAGCTGTAGCTTCCATACTTTCTTAACTTGACATAAGCTTAGCCATGCGAACCTTGTCTACAGTAGTTGCACTAGTGGTAAAGTCAGGTGCCTTACTGGCTTTTCTCCAGGAATGCTATTGATTTTGTGTGTGTGTGTGTAAAACAAAAAATGTCCACTTCTTGTACGAACATAGACAGCCTGAGCTACCAGCAAACTCTGTGACTGGGGGTCTCTCTGTAATTGGGCCAAGCTGAAAGGTGTCCCCATATGTACCTGGGGCCTGGTGTGTGTTCATAATGTTCAGGTGCCCCCCTCCCTCTCTCACCAGGCTGCCTTGGGGACACGCAGTTCTGTTTCCGGTTCCGCCAGGCTCTGGGCAGGAGGACGTCGCTCCGCTGCTTTCTGGACCAGTTCGACAGAGACGCTCCGGTCTACCTGAAGGTCAGGATCCCAGGAATTGCTCGCCAGTAGGGAACTGACACAGCCAAGAAGGCCAAGTCCAGCGGGTTTTGTGATGCTTTTTCTCGCCATTTTCTCTTTGTTGCAAATAGTCTGGCTCTCTCCCTGTTGGTCCTGTTCACGGGCCATTTTTTTCGTTTTACCTTGCACCTCATGTAACGTTACAAATTAGGGGACGATTCCTGGAGATACAGGCTAACCCGATTAGGCTGCTCTCACCTCCCGTTTTCCATTAATTCTGTGTGGGAATTTCCCTAAGAAACAAAAGATTGCTACATGTACCTGGGAAAACAGAAATGTTTTAGTTTGAGAGTGTAAGCAAGATGAAATGTGTTGCACTACTGTTTGAAACGCAAATTTAAGCGTATCTCCATGTTAGAGGTCACTTGCAGAGGTTAAGCCCTTTTTAGAAGCAGGCTTAGGCAGAAGATGTCTGGCTAATGTTTGTGTCCGCTGAGGAAAGTCGCTGTTTAAATGGCGCTAATTCGATTTTGCTGTTGCACTGTCATGTTTCTAATTTTCCAAAAATATCCACAATGAGTTTCTGGGGGGGGGTCATATTCATTTCCTGTTAAAAAATGAGAGATTTAATAATAAGTGGGATTCTAACGGGAGTTTTGCTTCCTTGCACCAAAGTGTGGTTTTGAATACTTCAACCTTTCAGCATCATGTAGCAGGACAGGGGTGAAGGAGCTTCCTTTGCTTCCTTTCCAGAGAGATCCTGGCCACTACTATGGCTACGTTTATTTCCGGCAGGTTCGAGATAAGTCGCTCAAGAGGGGTTACTTTCAGAAGGTGAGTCCGTTTTTTTTTCAACTTTTTATTGAAAAGGTTTTGACCATTTTAACAGGACAAAAACTAAGAAACATAAAAACCAATACATTAATTAATTAAGCCATTGAACAAAAACTTGCCTTTTTACAGTTTTCTTGTTGAGATAAAAATAGTCAAACTTCATCAAAAATGAATGGATTTGTTAAAACAGTTACAAAGCTCAGTCCGTTTAGAAGCTGTTTAGAAGGACGAGATCCAGACATGGCATCGTATCAGAGTGCTTGTCCTATAGAAAAGAGTTTTCTCCACTGTACATGAGGAGATCATTATTGAACCAGCTCTTAAAACTGGGCACAAAGAGAATGCGTTATTAACTACAAGCTTATTAGCTCAAGTGAAACTTGACCTGACCCCATGAACTGATTACATGGGCATTGAACTTGGTGTAGGAAAATGGGCTTACTTTAAGTAGATCAAGGTCATTTCTTCCTGTGTTTTCTGTACCTTCTTAGAAACTGCCAGACCAGTGTTTTGTAACTGAATGTGTTCTCATTCTGGAACTAAAACAGAGAAAAAAAGAATAAACGGAATCAAAAAGTTAGGATATGTAGTTAAAAGTGTAAAACTTTAATCGGGAGATGTTATGTTAAGATTGTGCCGTGCATTAGTAAGAAACATTTAGAATATTGTGTGTGGATTTTCACTGCTGTACCAAAACAATTTTGCTGGTTTGAAAATGGTCCAGAAAAGAGCAACCAGGTACACTCATTCTGAAGGTTTAAGCGAAAGAAGACGAACAGAGAAGACTATAAGAGGGCGAGATTCAAGTATTCACAACCCTCAAAGGCACTGATAAAAGTCAACACATTGGAACTGCTCTTAAAACTGAGAACAGGAAGAATTTTTTACCTAAATGATGGGGTGAGTGTGGAACAAGCTTCCCAGCTGTTGTACGCATTGGCGTCTTTCAAGAAACAGCTGGATGAGATGAGAACTGCCCGAATGCCCTTTTCATTGTACAGTACAAAGTTACACCTCCAGCTACTCCATCTTTCTGGAAGCAAAAGGCTGCTGTATTCATCGCCATCAACACTCTGCCCATGTTTATGTGATTCCAGTTGCATCGTGATTATGAAGACTGGGAGACCCCACAGGAGCCCAGTCTTTGTATATACTCAGTATTAAAGGAAATATCTGTTCGTATTTATGACAGAAGTATATTCATTATGCTCATTAGCATTTGTCATCTTGCTAGGATGATCTGCAGGAACTCGTACTGTGAAAGTCACAGTTAGAAGCACTGCAGGCTGTACATCTGTGACACATGCTTTGCAGCAGAATACAGATGCTGTGTAGGAGTCTGCCCTGTTCCTCAGTCTGGACGGACATGTGGCTGTTCACTGATCTCTGAGCTCTAGACGCCACACGTCATCCCAGTTCATCGCACAGAATTGCTGATTCATCTGTTTGTCAGCTTCTGGTGTACTTTCCACTCTGACCTTTCCACCTGCTGACTTTTCTTTATATAGAGCAGATGGAAGCTGCAAATGAGAAAGGGTGAAGCATTTCATTCTGAATATGTGGCTGGGTAGGGATATGCCATTTATCATCATAGCTAATAGCTAAAATCTTCATCATCATGTTTTTCTACCATATGGTTTGTGTATCTGAATTAGAGAGTAATTTACATTACAGATAAGAAGCTAAAATATGGGAGTTGTGTCTTTGTTCTATATCAATGGCTATTTTTGTAGGACTTCTGTAGTTCACTTACTTCTGAAATGGCATTGCAGATAGTGGGCCACATTAACTGTGTGTTAACACATGCATTTAATAAGCATGTTGCAAAACAGGGAGCTATTTTCTGCGCAGCTAATGATTTTCATATTATAGCCGTGATAATCTTTCATCCTGGTATGTTTTCCTAGTTAAAATGTTACTTGCCGTGGAAAAAAAATGAAGAGTGAGTGGGTTTGATCTGTTTTGAAGACAGTGTCTTGTGTATTTCAGACCTGAATCATATTGGCATTTACAACAAACAAATGCAGCTTGCCTTAACTGCAGAGAACTCCCCCCGCCTCTTAACCTTTCAGCTTCTTTGAAATCCTTGGGTAACAGTCAATCCATGTTCCATTCAGCCTGCTGAGGAACAGGAGATATACTTAGGTTCGGTTTTAGATCATGTCAGTTTCTTTCACAGGGAGTATGGAAATCCCATCCTGTTCTGGATGAGGGCTGAGCATCTGTGAGCACCAGGTTCTGTGTGACTATATGTGTTTTCTCCCACAGTCCCTGGTGCTGATCAGCAAGCTGCCCTATGTGACTTTTTTCCACTCGCTGCTTCAACTCATCGCCCCCGAGTACTTTGAGAAACAGGAGCCTTGCCTGGAGGCTGGTGAGTTTACAGACACATGCAGAATCAGTTCTTCTTCGCGAAAGCACTTTAAAAGTGCTGTCAATTGATCTTTCACTGGCGTGCGTTTTGTTTTGTTTTTTTTCCCCCGCCAACAGCTTGCAATGACATAGACCGCTGGCCTGTCCCGTCTCCTGGGAAAACCTTAATCTTGCCGATAATGGGAGTGGTGCTGAAGGTAATTCTGAGCCTGTGCGTCTGTGGTGACCATTGAAGGATGTCAAAGACATAATGGAAAAGCAAGAAGTAAATTTGTCTTTGAGATGTCCGTCCATCTGTTTCTCTGTGAAAACCGATTTAGAGTGAGTAAAAATGACCCTGAAGATGACAGAATGAGTGTGTTTTGTGCGTCTGTGTGGCAAGTGTCTGAGGTCTCCTCTCCTCCGACAGGTTCGGATTCCCACCTGTTCTGATAAGCCTGGCACCACGCAACTGGCGCAGGCAGCACAGGTGAGAACGCAAGAAAAGCTTCGTATGTGTTCTGAACAAGACATGCTTGAGTGCCAGTTATCAGGCAGGTGCATCAATCAGAAAGCATACTTAACTGAGGCTAGTTTCTGTGATGAAGGGGTAGGCAGCCATTTTTTTTCTGAGGTCTGAGGACTTCAAAACACTCAAGAGCTTGACTTAATTACCTGTCCTTGCTGCTGAAGGATGACTTCAAGAATTCTAGATGCGTTTAAATAAATTTTAATGTTTGGAACTGCCAAAGTTTGCTCTATTTACTCTGAAGGCCAAAATACTGAGTATGCTAACACATCTTCTCGTGCTTGACGTCAGGGGTGACATACAAGAATCCCAGATGTGTTTGAGAGTTTGAAAAAATGCATTGATGCTGAGACAAAATGGGAACGGACTGGTGCAACACATTGTGTTGGAGTAAGAGTTTAAGCAGTTGTGTTTGATGTATTTGTGCTGGGTTTTTTTTCTTATATTATCCTCCCTTTCTTCTTTCAGAGTGACACCCAGGTCTCTGTTGTCCTTCCATCTATTTATGAAGTGGAGCTTTTCAGGTAATGCAGGGTGTGGGCTGTACTAACGTTTCTAACCTTGTCTTGCAAAATACTGCAGACTCCTCCTTTCACTGTGAACTGCTCCACACATCCATACTAATTTGCAAACATAGTGAATCACTTGCCTGTCAGGGGCGATACTATGGTCATGCAGGTGGTTTGCCCGGGGCGAGGCTCAGCCACTGCACTCCGGCTGTGCTGACCCCTGCGAATTCCCCCAACGTGGGAATCTTGACTCCAACTTTGCCGGTTCGTATCCCGCAGCCGGCAGAGGAATCCTACTCTATCCTAATCCTACGGTGCCCCTGAGCAAGGCCCTTAACCCCAGCTGCTCCAGGGGCACCGTATAAATGGCTGACCCTGCGCTCTGACCCCAAGCCTCTCTCCCTGTCTGTGTGTCTCACGGAGAGCAAGTTGGTGTATGCGAAAAGACAAATTCCTCATACAAGAAATTGTATATGGCCAATAAAGTGATGTTATATATCTTATACTAAACCTCTGTCCTGTGACACAAGGCTGCTATGAATTGAGACCCATTGGCCCATTTTTCCACTGGAGGAAGATATTTCAACCCCCTGTGTTTTATAATATACTAATTTACTGTCTTTTGAATTAATAGTAAAGCTCAGCTCTTACCCAGCCATAATGTTGAAGCCAGTACCCTGGCTTTCCTATTTCTTGAAGAAACGGCTGGAGGAAATCCTTAGATCCATTCGATTCCTGCAAATAAACGGGACGAATGGCTTGCTCTCAATTGTCTTGAGTTTTTTGTCCTGTCCGTACTCTGGCTATTGGAGATCACACATTTCACTGTGCAAGACTCTTTAGACACATCCCTGGTGTTCTGGTCTGATCTCGAAAGAGGTCATGAAGCCTGGCCTGCCTAACCTCTCCCTGCTTTGGATGGGTGACTGTCAGATTCCTTTCCTGCCCCATCACAAAGATCTCTCTCTGGAGCTAGTTAAAATCAAAAGGTGAAGTGGGAATTATCATTCATTTCACAGCATGAAAAAAAGATGCCAGCCCTAGGCCTGTGAGGAATGGAGAACAACGTAGATACAAGGCACGTACCCCAGAGAGGAGAGAGGCAGGAGGTTCACATTTGGTGGGATACAATGCAGGACGCCCCCGTGTGCAAGCAGTCACGTCATGGAAGCCTTTGACTCTGAACGGCGCTGGTGCCATGCTCAACATCAAAGTTGGCCCGTGTCCCTGTTCTGTAATGATTTAGCCTGATAAGTTTAATTTAATTCTAAGCAGAGGGGTAAAAAGAGGTCATTTTGGGAACATACGGACTAATGCTAGTTCTGCTATAGACAGAAGGGAGGTGCTTGGCAGTTGTTTCCTATAACCTCGGGTTAAAGCAAGCAAGGAAGGATATGAATAACGGCTTTTGCAGTAGCTGGGGTTTGTAGCAGTTCTGCATTGCCTCCTCGGCAACGCGTCGGCTGTCAGTTGAGGCCCAGAGATGCCAACCTGTGGCCGCGTAAAGAACTGCATCCACATTTTCAGTTGCTACCCGGCCTCCCTCTCCTCATGGCGTGCCCATCTACAGACTGGTCACCACTTCTGGTTTCCTTGGCAACATGCTTCCTAAAGAAAGAGACAGGCTGGGCAAAGCCTTGAGTGCTAGCTGCTGGCTGTGCAAAGGTGCATGTTTGAATGAACGGGAAGTGAGCAGACAGACCTGTGACTCATCTTCTAGGCTTTGTTTATGCATCTGTTTTGCCAGTATTGTTACCCTAGGGAAAATGTATTAAAATCCTGGTGTCTCATTTTATTTCACTGCCCTGCACCTGATGGGAGTCTGCTTGAGTGTCAGTGTTGAATGGCACAGAGCTATAGAAGCCGGCCTGCATTTGCATGTTAAAGCGTAGAGTTTCACAGCAGGTCAGGTCCCTTGGCTGCGGCAGATGGTTATTAACGTTCCCACTGTACCAGCCTCCAGCTCTTCCATACGCTGGGTTTGGCCTGACTTTTTATCTTCCAGGGCAACACTTTCAAAACAAACATTCAAATTCTGCTCAGAAGACTGACTTCATGAGCAGTTTATAGATAACGTGATGAGAAAAAAAGATTGCCGGGCCAGTCAAGATTGTGGGCGTCTGGGATGTCTCTTTTAAACTGTTGAGCTAACACAAGAAATACATTTTGGCGCTTTTCCTCTGTTTGTGCAGCATGATCTAGTGTTTTGTCTCTTTCTTTCTCTCCGTCTGCCCCTCTCTTCACCTCTATGTGCGTCTCCTTCTCTGCTTGGCCGTCTGATTCTGATTGTCTGGCTCTCATCCTGTCTCTCTCTCCAGGTGCTTCAGCCCAGTGTTCTTTCACATTCAGATGCTGTGGGAGCTGGTGTTGCTAGGGGAAGCCCTGGTTGTCATGGCGCCTTCACCCGCTGAATCCTCGGAGACTGTTCTGGCATTGGTCAGGTAAGGGGTAGGCTGAGTGAAAGGCATCATTCACTTGTTGAAGGTTTTTCTAAAACTGACATTTATCAGTTTTTCCATTCTTAAATTGACTGTTATCTGCAGTCTTAGTCTTAAAATTAAAAGGTCGATATTGGCTGAAATGTAAGCAATTTATTTCATAATATTCATTCCTGGAAAAGAGAAATGTCTGCTTTATGTGAGACAATATCACAGCACCAAGAACATTTTGGGATTTAGTTACGGCATTTTCCATTATTTTGTGTTATCTGAAAATAAACAGAAAAGACTTCATAGTATCTTTGTATTGGTACGGGGTCCAAGTGTTCCACATTTTGTTGTTTTAAAGCTTGCAGTCTAGACATTTTGTGGTAGCAACTAATGTACAATGATGTGAAAAAGAAAGTAACTCTCATAGCATCCTGTGGTTATATTAAGACATATCTGACATATGTCCTCCTACCTTCACCTAGTCCTCACCAACTCCTAAGAGTAGATAAATCTAACCTCATGTGCATTTTTTTCTCTTAAGAATCTGCTAGCTTTTATTTTTATCTTATTCCTCGCAGTCTTCAGTTTGAGTATTCAGGTTTTGAATAAAATGAAATTTTTACAGACTGCGTATGCATCCTTCTGTAATTCCAGAAAATGTGACACTGCAGGGTGGGTGGGAGTACTTTTGCAAAGCAATGCACATAGACATGGTACTTATGTTAAGTAAATGTAACTGGTTTGTGTACCAGTGGATGTGCCTGGTGCATTCTCAGTATGAGAATACAGTAGGGCACTTTCCTGCAGTCACCGCTAGACAGACCCTGTGAGAGAGTCAGGGATCAGGTATGGTCAAATCTGTTCCTCGATACTGTTTTTGTGGATTACAGTAGCCGGCTTTATCATCTTTCAGCATTCATTGTCTGTGGCTGCGGGTGTTCTCAGCCATGTGCTGTCACTGGCAAAGCCGGTTCAAAAATAAGCTGTAGAAAGGCCTAAAAACTAGCTGGACAAATCCTGCCAAAGGCCACTTTCTGATTGGAACAGGTGTATCGAAACTTGTGGAGGAGTGAAAGAGGAAATTGAAAAGAGACAGAAAATTAGCCGTTATGGTAAAAGAGCTAAGCAGTTTGTTGTGGTCATTCTGGGATGCCTGCTGGGAGTGTTTCCACTCCCCTTACTCCTGTCTGTCCTGCAGTGTTCGGAGTCTCCTAGACCAGCTTACCACTGCCGCGCCTATGTTTGTAATTCAGCACACAGCAGCGACCCCATTACAGCATTGGCCTTTGAGAGGTGGAATCAATTTCCCCTGTTGTTGTGTGCGTCTTCTCTGGCGGTTCCGTCTCTCAGCCGTGCTCTAGGAGCGGCTAATGAGAGGCTGTCCAACAGATCGCACACGTACAGCGTTTCACCGCAGACTCTCGATTACTCCTCTAGGCTGTCAGGGCTGGCATTAACGAGTGCAATCAGGGGGCACAGATGAAAATTGTCGCGTTAATGGTCTGGGTTTATTTTCGGAAAACTGTGTGGGCCTCGGGTGTCTCTTATCTGTCTTCCTCTTCTTTTCACGGTGAACTGATTTCTCTCCCTCCCTGCTGTGTCCGTTGGCTTTGTTAAAGAGTAACTTGTGAGGTTCTGGAAAGCAGAGTCATGTGCAGTGGCTAAAAGTGTACGTTTTCTTCTGCTCATTAACCTCCGAAGTTAACATGACACTGTTTTACACTGGTATGAATGCGCCCCTTTGCTCTGCGGGAAGGACAGGTCACATCTGGTTCAAGGCCTCATCTACTGTTTTATTCACAGCTGCATCTCACCCCTGCGGTACTGTAGTGACTTCAGGCCCTATTTCACTATCCACGACAGTGAATTCAAGGAGTACACCACTCGCACGCAGGCTCCGTAAGTATACAGGAAAGGACAGGATGCCCGTGACCCTCTCCTAACACTTCGGCCAATGAGTGAATAAAAATGTTGAGCACATAAAGCATGTCAAGGCGAGGGCTTTTGCTAGCATTTTATTCACTCATTGGCCGAAGTGTTAGGAACCCCCAATCCCCTCTTATTCCCCCAGAGGGATCAACTGTGCCGTATCGTGAGAGATTTTATTTAGCTCCTTATTTAGATCTGCCTGTCACAGCCATTCTATGAAAACGTTCTTGAATTTCTAAAGCTTTGTCTGATGAATTAGCGGGCAAATCATTGTCGCACAAACAAGGATTTGGGGGAGCATGTCTGTATTTTATGCGGATTTGACTGAAGTTTTGTTTACACACTGTGGGTAACGCTTTACAGTAAGTGACTGTTCTTGTTAGTCCTTGAGCAATGGGGAAGTGGTATGAATAGCCCATGAAAACATGAATTAACTCTCTGGGAAGTGGTGTACTACATTCATATTATTGGCAGCGCAGTGGTGTTGTGGCGGTGCATTGCGGCCTCGCAGCACTGGTTGCCTGGGGTGGAGTCTGCATGGAGTGCTCTGGTTTCCTCCCACAGTCCAAAGACAGTAGGTGAATGGGCTTCTGGGAAAATGTGGCCCTGGTGCGAGTATGAGCGTTGGTCTGTGTGGTGTTTCACCCAGGGTGTGTCCTGCCTTGTGACCGTTGTTTGCTGCCCTGTGACCCTGAATTGGAAATAATATAGTTTGATGATGGATGGATAAATGCTTATTTTAAAGTGTTACCTATTTGTGTGTATATATATAACCTTCAAGAAAAGGGGACATGAGATCCTGAAATTGATTTATTACTAGCAATAAAATAAGGTGGTTGCTAGCAAATGCCTTCCCCTTTTTTGACATTATTTATGTGCTCAACATTTTTATTCTCTCATTGGCTGAAGTGTTAGGAACCCCAATCCCCTCTTATTCCTCCAGAGGGATCAGCTTTAGTTCAAGTTGTAATTGGGATTGTACTGCATACAGAATGTGCATACAGTACATGTCTGTTCATGTGACTGGGGTTCCTCACTGAGTGTGTGTATCTGTATACAAAAGCAGCACTGAACACAGCTCAGATCCTATATTTTAAAACCAAGTACGACTGATTTGTTCAAGGTCTCTTGGAAAGAAGCTAGATGATGTGTTAGCGACCATTCTTTGTCTTTTTTTTTTCAAAACCCCATGCATTTAGACAGTGTTTTAAAGGGGAAATTCTAATACAACTGGAATATGTGACGAAACTGTACACAGCAGCAGTTAACAGGACAAATCTGCCTGTATCTTCGCCCCCAGTGGAATGTAATTCGGAAACTCCTGGGGTCTTATTTGGGAACGCTCAGTTAAATCCCGCACTGAACAGTCAAGCCTGCAATTACTGCACAGCTCTCCTTACAAAGAGACTTTTAAAGAACAATGGAGGAGCTGTGCCACACAGAGAGGGCTTTTAAAAGCGACTGAATGACGGAAGCCGGATAAAAACAAAAGCGGTTCATGCAGCTGCATTGACTGTCGCAGGCTGTAATTTGCTAGCGGTGATATTCAGACTGCAGTTTTAGAGTTTTACTGATGCAAAATAGCTTTGAGGCAGAAAGATGGGAATTTGGCTCCTCTTATCACTGCCTGCAGCTCTTAGTAATAGTTACATGCTATCCGTAGAAAAATAACACGTATATTTGTAAATGCTGCAATGACAAGGAATTTGCGCTGAAGTCGTTTCAGAACTTAAGTGACATGAGAAGAGATTTCGTCTTCAAAGCACCATGAATAACGTTCATTCGTCATTTAGACACTAAATCCAGAATAACAAGCAGTTATTAATAATTTCATATTATGCGATCACATCTTTTGCTGTGACATGCATTAACACTCAGATATTTGATTTACTCAGACATGATTTATTACCTTGTGGAATTTGCCGTTTTACTTAGATGGTCATTTGTATTAGATTTGTACTTCTGCAGTGCCTGATTCCAGTATCCTGTGAATTTCCACTCCTGTGCTTTGTAAAGCCAGGCCTCTTTGGCTTTACAAAGTACAGGATGTCCTCTGAACTGTATGAAAGATACCTTGACACATACTTGACTGGGGATATCAGGAAAAGGTACAGTCGACTGTTGGAAGATACAAATTTCTTAAAGAGCTCTGCAAGGAAGAGGTCACGTCAGCAAACTCGTTATTGGGAGTGTTATTGAGCTGGTATTGGATGTAATGGCTCCGTGTTTCTCTGTAGGCCTTCTGTGATTCTGGGAGTGACCAATCCCTTCTTTGCAAAAACGCTCCAGCACTGGCCACACATCATCCGCATCGGGGACATGAAACAAGCAGGTAACGTGGTCTCTGATCGACAAAGACAAGGGCTGAATCACAGGGGGAAGTTCTGCACCTGATACTTAAATAGTGCTTCACGCCACTCTGTCTTGTTTTCTGTATCTGAGTACCTGTGTCTCGGTGTGCTTTCCATAGGGGATATTGCCAAGCCAGTTAAGGTGAAGAAACTGAAGAATCTGAAGACATTAGATTCCAAACCAGGTCAGTACCACAACCTGGGCTACTGATTTTGCCAAGCATACTGCTGTACAGCACAGAACAGAAAAGCTGCGTGTTCTCTGCTGAGACTGCACTAGGAAGACGAAAATTATTAAGAACCATCACCGCATCAGTTTTTCACTTTTGTGTTTCAGGTGTTTACAGTGCCTACAAGCCATTCCTCAACAAAGATGAGGAGATTATCAGGCAGTTGCAGAAGGTACTGGAGTTCATCTGGACTTCATTTTAAAATCATGGCTCAGGAGCTGTACTGGAAAAGCAGATCCATAATTTGTATTGTGTGTTTTAAAAAGTTGTAATTATTTTTTCGTTGCAGCACCATTTTAGCGGTACATGACACTCACATTCAGCAACCAGAGAATTCTCTTGTCACGTCTCCCTTGTTCTTTGGATATCGTTCAATATTAGCTTTTCTCTGTTTAAAGGGAATCCAGCAGAAACGCCCGTCCGCAGCCCAGAATGCTATTCTGCGGCGCTACTTCCTGGAGCTAACCCAGAGCTTCATCATTCCTCTGGTAAGTCCGTGAACCTCTAATGTCTAAAAGTCTTTCACTGCTGTCATCAGTCTCCTCTTTGGACAAAGAAGCAGACCAGTGTTTCCACTCTTCACCACGTTGGGAAAGCTTTGTGAACTCAATTGAACAAAGAAAGGATATCTTGAAAATCAGTAATACAAGGCTAACATCTCTATCTCTGTGTTTCACATTTATTGCTCCTATGGAGTATCTTATCTCTTCACATATGGCAATATGAAACGATTACATTCACATTTTCACTTGCTGCAAGTTTTTTCACCTTGTCAGCGAATAATTTGCCAAGTTCTCCCTCTTAATACCACTAATCCTTCTGTTTCGATCACTGTGGGAGATTACACCTGTGTGCAGGTCTTCTGTCCCTTTTTATTTGATAGGATGGGTGTTCTCAAGAAAAAAAAACTAAAACCGTGCTTGAGTTCCTGTAATGATTAAGCCAGTTTTAATGGAACTAAATGAAATCCATAATCCTCTGAATAAAAATCCTTATTACTTTTTTCCCCCATTTGTAAAGAGTCTGTCTCCCTATCTGCTTTTTGAAAAACGCTTGCTTGTGTATGTAGAAATCTGACTCTGGCCTGGGGTCATATCTCCTGATCTGGGCCTGAAGGAATTTTAAACAAACACCTGCTTGTTGTACATGACACTTTAGAAATAGCTGAAAGGCGGGATAACATCTTCAAGAACAGCCACTGGACCACAAGTAGAATGCAGACTCTAAAACCCCATTTATCGTGGCAATAAAATGGCTGGACTCGAATTATAAAAACCTCTGTCAAACTGTTGCACTCTGGGCCACTGTGGGAAATATACCTTGTGTGTGTCTCCTTCAGCGTTCTCCGGAAGTGGCCATTTTCGTTACAATTAAACTCATCTCAAACCTTCACTGGACTGCGGGGTGACTCCTTGCATCCCTACATGTAGAACAATTGAGGGAAGTCTGTGTGAGCCTAGCAGCTCATGGTCATGTATGGAACGTCTTCCTGTACACCCCATCGCTTACTGTAGTGATGGTAACATTGGGGCCTCAATTTGTTATTTGTTATGTCTGAGAAGAGAGCTGTGTGTGGGCTCCTCTTTTCAGTTTCCTTATTCATTTCTATTGTTTCTCTTTCAGGAGCGCTACGTGGCTAGTTTAATGCCGCTTCAGAAAAGTATCTCTCCTTGGAAGGTAAGCACACATCCCCGTTCCAGACACTTCTGTGTGGGTGCGTACTCAGTGAAGCCAGATAGAATGAAAGTGGACCTTCACACCTTGCAAGGCAGTGTACTTTCAGGCGGATGCTGTTCTGAATTGAGTGAAGGCTACAGTCTGGTTAAATAACTGTTCCTTTGTGCAGATTGCAGGTGGATTCCTGAGGTTCTGATACAGTAGGGCAAGGATCTTGAGGATTACTCCCTGTAGCTGCCTTGCTGGTTTTCTGCTTTCTGGCAACAACCTGCCAGTGGCAGTGGGCGAAATGGGAGATGTTTTTTAAAAGAGATGGTGTTCTGGGGGAGCTTAAGGCATATAGTGTTTATGTAAAAAAAAAAGTCTTTATTCCAGTGACAGTGATCTGTCAGTGAGTTGCTGTTGTCGCAGTCACATATCAAGGCACGGAAAACCTTGTGGCATTATGTTATACTTCCGCTCATTATCTATGTGGTTATGTTCTACTTAGACCTCACTGTTAAAAACACCTCCAGCAAAAAACATCAGCAAGAAGGGAATGTTCCAACCTATATGTAAATGACTATGGTATTAGTACTGGACATAAACTGGTCTCCATAAACTGACCCTGAAGCTTCTGTAAAATCTTGATATCTTTAGTATTGACATGTCACAATGAGAGGACAGAAGACAGATGCTGAGATGGAAGTTAGAATAATTTAATTATGTATTATGAAATAATATAAACAGTAGATCTTGCTTTTTAAAAATAGGTCACAACAGCCATCATTCTAGGTTTGTTGAAAGGATTAATACTGACGGTGACTCCAAACCCTTGAAGACTGCGACTCTCCAAGATGGATCTACCATTTTTCAGTCATACTTTTTTTGTGGGCATTTAATGAATTGCACACAAGATTTCTTTTTTATTTTGATCTGTTGGGGGTAAAGTACAGTTAGAGTAGAAAATTGTACTTTTGCAGACATGTTGTTTGGATGCAGGAACTTCTCTGCAGACTCACGCTGGGTTACCTGACCCCCAGGCCAGGCTGTATTTCATTTCGCGGGATTTAGTGAGGCTGTTGCGTCAGTGAGTGGGGTCTGTCTCTCCTAGAGCCCTCCCCAGCTGCGGCCCTTCAACCAAGAGGAGTTCATGAAGACTCTGGAGAAGGCCGGCCCTCAGCTCACCTCTCGCCTCAAGGGGGACTGGATTGGGCTGTACAGGTATGGCTCTGGACCCGAGAGACGGTGTGGCAAGAGGCTGGGTTCACTCGCAGCTCCATGTCTTCTCTCTGGCTCCTTTTGATCTGCTTCTGTTTTGACATGTGCGGGTTTTAGAGAGGATCCATACCAGTTTCCCAAATTGTTTCCATTGCTGAAGAGTCCAGAGCAGTTAGACCCCATTTGCGTCATTGAGGCAGAGCCACTGGAAATGAGCAGTTGCCTGCAAAGGTGTATCAGTGAATTAAATCGAAGGGTACCCAAACTTTTGCACATGCCACGTTGACCATTTTATTTTTTTTCAATCTGTTAAATTCAGCAAATTATAGTAATTGTCTATTGAAGTGTGCAGAACCATGTCATGTTTAAGGTTGTATCCTGCAGAGGATGTGTCCACGTCTTTTCACTTAGAGATTCAGTGAAACGTGCAGTTTGACCAGGGGTGCCCAAACTGTATTACCCTCCTCTTCTTCGTTAAGAGACCCAGTGTGTGTGAGTGTTTTACCATGATGAGGCAGGAGCACACAAATACATGCTGTGTCACAGGACAGTTATTTGCCCTAGAGCCAGGGAGGAATTCTTTTCCATGAGAAAGTTGTGGAGATTCTACAATCCAGTCCATCGGCAGGATTATGAAAATAAACAAATGTGGTCTTGGTAGCCAGGGACTGCCAACTATGGAAACGATGAGACATTATGTATCGTGCACACCCCACCTGTCATCCACGTGGTTAAAGGCGTGTGTTTCCTGACGCAACAGGATCCATTTTTTTTTTATTTGTTCATTGCATGTCCGTTAGGACTTCAAACGTTAAAAGTAGAAGCGTTTTCTATTTTAACTTCTGGGTTTTAACAGCTAACCAGTTCAGGCTGACTGAAACTGACTCCTCTTGAATATCGTGCGCATGGAAATATAGAACACTTATAATCTCCAACAGAAGAGCTCAAAATTGGGATGATTTGAATATTGAATTCACAACACCATTTTTTTTAATTACCGCTTATTCAAATATAGGTCATTGCCCAGAGCCTATTCAGGAAAGCATTGGGTGCGAGGCAGAATACACCTTGGATGGGATGCCAGTCCATCACAGAACAGACGCACAAACACACACACACCAGGGCCAAATTGAACAAAAGCTTATCAGCACATCTTTGTACTGGGGAGGAAACCGGAGCAGCAGGAGGAAACCCACATAAACACAGGGACAGTATGCGAAATGACCCCAGGTAGCACTCCAAGAATTGAACCCAGGGCCCCAGCACTGTGAATCAGCAAAGCTAACCACTGTGCCACCTAAATATATTTTTTTAATTGAAGTGCTCTTCCTGTTGAGTTTCTCCTTTCTGCAGTTTGGATGTTAGCCTATGTTTGTGGATGGAGGGGGGTGGAATGCCTTGAAGGGAGTTGGCAGAGGCTTGTCTGGTGCCTGGGGAGGTCAGACCGGACCACTGGGAGTGTTCAGGTTGGGGGAATGTAGAAGGCCGGAGCCCTGCGCTGGGAAATTCGTCTGCTTATTGTGTGTGTCTCTCCTTCAGGCAGTTCCTGAGGTCTCCCAACTTTGATGGCTGGTTCAGGACCCGCAGGAAAGAGATGACCCAGAAGCTGGAAGCTCTTCACCTAGAGGCCTTGTGTGATGAGGTGCGAGACCCCACCCTCACAACAGCAGCAGTGTACACTTAGGCAGTTCCTCTGCTAGGAGCACATAGACTACGGTTAGAGCAGAGCTTAAGAGCCAGTGCATGTAAACCACAGCAACGCTATGGTTGGAAAAACGGAACGGAACACTGCAGCCCTTAGTGGGTCCAGTTCCATCAAGCTGATATAGACTGGAAATGACACAAAAAAGCACAATAATAACCTTAAGTACAGCGTAGGCAGAACACAGTTCAGTGCCTCCTCCAATTTACAGTGAGTCTTTATCATTCAGGCTGGGGGTGAGGTTGTTGTTAAATAGAAAGAGAAGGGCACTATCTGCTATTCCATACAAATGATTACATCACGGATGCAACTGAGTTCATGAATGAAGGAAGATTGCAGAACCGTTTCTTTCTCTTGCAGGACTTGCTGCTCCGAATTCAAAAACACACCGAGGTGGAAACTGTGGATCTTGTGCTGAAGTTAAAAGACAAGCTGGTGAGAACTGTCTTCAGAAAGTTGTTGCTCCTAAGACTGTCGGTTCCTTCCTTGACATATTCTACAGGTTTTCATAAATACCAGCCTGGTCATGATCCATGTGTTCATACTTCAAAAACTACAAAGCTTTTATGACTTTATGTGTATTGCTAAGGCTGTCTGGACCAAGATCCTTATGTTACGTGAGAAGCTAAATCACAGGTAGGACAGAACATCTAAAAATATAGGTACTGCATGAATGATCATGTACAGCTGGAAAAAAAACTAGCTGTTGGTAGTATGAGGTATGAGGAGGCTGGTCAGAAAGTCTCGTCTTTCAGTTGCAGGCCGAACAGGAGCAGTTGCCAGTCAAGGTGGGGACGCTGGCCAGACTTCGGACACACATTGAGGCCATCATTCTGACCCTGCCAGAGGACTTACAGGCCATCCTGCAGAAGTCAGGCACATCCTGATACCAGGGTCGGCTTAGCTGGACGTCCAGCAGCAAGGCAGCGCATCAAGGAGCTGGGGAACTGGGTAGTTGCAGACAAAGAACATGCAGATGAGTGGTGCCCAAATCTAAACGGGACGGGTTCACATTTCTCGTGAGATGTGGCTTTTATATTAAGTGCACTTGTATTTATGAACCTAAGAGCCATGTGCCCACAGGAGAAGTTCCACACGTGCAGTGCTGGCATTGCAAAAACAGAAAACCAATCAACAACAGAGGAAGCTGTATTACACTGCACTACCTGTTTTGTCCTGCAGTGGGAGTCTGTGTACCACAACCCAGATCAGGATACCCCCTGGCTAGCAACCAGGCTGTCTGTGCTCTCGTCATTTCCTCTCGCATTTCACCAGCCTTTCTCCGCCTTTCTTGTGCAAGTCACCTGAGGAATTAAGTCTCTTCAGTTTGCGTTTCTGGAGTTTGCCACGCTTCCTAGAAGACGTGGACGTTATGGGGGTAAGGTATGTGTACTGGCAGGTTACAAGGAGGCAGTTCGTATTTACGTGGAGCAGCTAAGTTCGTTTTTTAGCTCTGTGGCCATGTCAAAAAAGTTTCTTGAAACATTTATGAAAAGGCTGCAGGTCGTCGTGGGGAAGTGCAAAAAATTGTTTTAGAAATGTTTTATTCTTGATAGATTGTTTGAAAGCCGCTAAGGTCTGTGAAAAAGACCTTCCTGTTCTCGCACTGACAGTGATCCAGCACTGTTCATGTTAAGTTAAGAGACAGCCCAAATCCATGGTTGTCTCACACTTCTTATGAAGGAACACTAATCTAGCTTTCTCTTTCTCAGGATCATTGATAACCAGTCCTGCCACTTCAGCAGAGTCCCCTGTTTCTGAGTAGAAGCAATCTGGAGGCTATAAATGACCAGGATCCAGTCCCCAAATGTAGCACATCGTGCCTCACACCCACACCGAAACTCTCAAGATCCATTTAATTGGGTAACTGAAACAGCCAGAAAACACATTAAATATTATAAAGTATTAATGTTCAGTTATTTGTTTTTACATTGCACTGTAGATATATATATCATCCAGGTGGGTGCTGCACATTGGTGGTGGTGGAGGGGAGTCCCCATTACCTGTAAAGTGCTCTGAGTGGAGTGATTTTTGGCAATTGGCAATTTTTTGTCTCCAGTAAACCTTAAATGGAGTTTAATTTTGGACTTGTCAAAACCGCAGGACTTCGAAGCTGTAGTCACGCTGCATTGTCGCTTTCCTGTGCTTATCAGTGCTTGAAGTCCACTGTGGTACGGTGTCCACCTTCGGGTCCTGGACATTTTGGGCCAGTTTTTACAGAAAGAAGAAGATTGCCTTATTTTATAGTTTGTACTCTTTTAACTGACTGAACATGACTATACCTCCATTTTTTTTACTTAATCTGCACGTGACACTGCTTGTTTTGATGAAAGGCAAATGTTGCTTTTGAAGGAGGTGCTAGTTCAACAAGAAAGTAGCCCTTTGAAAAGTGGTATTCTCATTTTGGTCTCTATGACTCGTCACAGAAATTGTTTTTAAGTATTATCGTTTCTGTACTGTGATTACAGCAGTTGACGGGGCAGTTTGAAAGCCATCTCTTAATTTACAGACTTTGTCTTTTTTTTTAGAGAAATATGTCTGTTAGACTGATTGACCAGCCTCATTTTGCTTGCACTGTAGGCCTAATTTTATAATCAGACCTGTTGGCATTATATATAACTGAGTTGTGCCTTCCAGACCCTAATCTCTTCAGATAACACAATTGCTGAAGCAACTTATTAGAAGCTTATTGTTGTTACAACCAGCCTTCTCAGTTATTAAGTCTTCAGCTCTGAGCAGAGTTCACACTGTGCTGCTTAGTTTGAGAGAAAATATTTGTGGTGAGAATGAAAAGAATTCTGACAGTGAGGATAATGTTTTTTTTCATCAAGGTTTAAGATAAAGGTTACATGCTCGTTTAAACATTTCAGTCCGCGCTGGACTATGCAAATTCCATTTGGCAAGAAACACTGGAAACAGCTGCATTCTAGTTGCCATGACGTGCATTAAACAGCATCTGCGAGTAAGAGCTGTCCAGTAAATCCACAGTACATGTGTGTCACAGACAAATATTTTTGCAGGAGATATTTTTAACTAGCAGAGTTTTGAAAAATGTATTATTATACATTCCAGTGATCTTGCTGGAACTGTTTCTGTCACAAGCTTGTAGTTTTTAATTTCAGTGTTGAAGTACTGAAAGGTTTTTCAAACTTGTAAGTTTAAAGTCTACTCCAACTTCCACAGCTACAACCTAGTGTCTAAGGGTATTCGTGACTCAAAACTGATGAGGAAATCTCTTTTACTTTTTTGAGTAGTGGCAGAGGCTGATTTTGCTAGGACTAGGTACCTTCCTAGCTAGGATTGTTTCTGGAAGTAACTGAATCACGACATCAGACAGACAGCAACTTTAAGGAGAAGCCTGTGACTCCTGACACAGGTCTGTGAGCTATTTCCAACCTGGCAACATCCTAAAAAAGATTTTTTCTTTGTCCCTAAAGAAGGAATTAGAGTTGATCATCTCGGGCAAAGATAAACCACATTTCATTTTTTTTTTTTTAATTGACACAGCTTATAACTAAGCAACGAAAAGAACATTAAAAATCTGCCTTTTGGTAAAAACAGGCACTTTCATTATTTCTTTTGAATAAAATTATCTTGGTACCAAGTAACATGCACACAGATTGCTCAGGCCTACCTACTTATTTGCATTATTGGGGCTATGCTTAATTAAGAGGCACAGTGAAAATAAACTGTTCAAAATCATTTAGTCACAGGGGTTCAACAAGCATGACCATCTAGGCTATGGTGTTTTAGAGAAACAGTACTTGTTTTGTAAGTGGTGGCACTTAAGCCAAGATATTGGCCTTGCTCGTTATTACTGGATTGATGGTGACTTCAAACACCAAGTGTGTCTCTGTTCCATGCTGGGGTAAAATCAAATTGTGTCCAACTGCAGAAAGAGTGGGCTTTATACCAAGCCACCAATCCAGGCACACTGGAATCTTGACGGAATGTGTTGGTCTTCACAATTAAATGTCATTAATCATGTCAAAATGATGCGAATCAAAGAGGAATGGCAAGGTACCATATTTTAAATACTGTAGCAAAACATGGGGATGCTTTGCACTGTTTTACAGAACACCACTATTTGCTCTTTAACTTTTCATGTGTGGAATTTTCCCTGCCAGAGTCTTCACAAAGCAAACCTCATTGTAAGTCAGTGTTACTGCAGAAACTGTTTGGGTTGTTCGCCAACCATGACCGCTTATATTTTTGGAAAAGCAGAAATAACCTATTTTAACATGCTTAAATTTTATATACAGATCTATTCTCATACTATGCTTTTCTTTAACTGATCTGCCGGTATACTACAAAAATATATATTTTATTATTTAAAATAATACCAAAAGAGGGCATTAACACTCACCGATTTTAATAAAACTAATATCGAGAAGCACCCAGGCACATCACATTGGACTGAGGGACTCTGATGGTATCTAGACTTTTGTCGTGCTTGTCTTTTGCATTGGAGCCATAACTTCTGATACCGTCTTTACCAGTTTTTTAACATCTGTCCCACACTGAGTGTTTCTTTGATGTACCCGGAACATTCTGTTGTCACATCCATTCGAAATGAGTATTTTTGTTACGGATCAATAAAGTGACTTCAGAAGTTTTGCTGACCTGCGTGTGTCATTTTGTTTGTGAGCCAGTGAACTCTTCAGTGCTTGTTTGTCTATACATTTTGAAAGCAGCACACCAGAGGATGGAACAATATAACAATGTTTTTTGCTAATACACAAATGGTAGAAGAGAGATTTACCAGACCTGTGTGGATTCTTTAATTTAGCCCTGCAAAGTCTATTTTAACCTTCTCATATTCTAGAAGAAACTTGGGTAGATAAAGGAATAGGTCCAGGACCTTACTGCCTTGCTTTAATGAAGGAGATGTACCTAACTTATCTAAAAAAAAAAAAAAAAATTATTGGCTTCTTAAATCTCTGCAATCCACTAAATCCATTTTATTTTTGTCACCGAGACCAAAGAGAGAGATTATACCACAAAGTACAAAATACTCAAAAAAAAAAACATACAAAACATAGATGTGGTTAAGATTTGCCTGTTAAGATGAAACTGGCTTAATGGCCTTGACTACTGTAATGCACAACAGTCTCAAGAGTCTGTTCTACTAAACTGCAATACTCCAATACTACCATTAGATGTCAGCCACGTCAGGCGTTGATAAAGAGGGACAAATAAAGGTTTTTTCCATGCTGAAAAGAGAAGAAAAGAAACACAAAGTTTCAGCTGTGGAGGCTTCTTCACTCCTGAAAAGGGCTCCACAGTCGAAATATTGTTTCTTTTCTTTTGATCCTGTGAGGCAGTGATGCCAAACTGCAAGGCCTCCATGCCTTCCTGTTCCTCTCTTGGGACCACAGCAGGCCATTCCTGATTTAACAAAACCAAGCAACAGGCACAATCAGACTTGCATGCATAGTCTTGACAAATTGCTGATTTTAAGGTGACCAGGAAGAACGGTTAGATTATGGCTCTCCAGGACTAGGGTTATCATTCCCCAGTTTCAGTCAAACATTATTACTTTGTAAGTTAGCAATGTATGGGTCCATACCGGACAATTAACAACAGCTGGATATCAGGAGTGGAGTCAAACTGTGTTTAGAGACGACAGTCTCCAGTTTTGCGTCATGAGTTATTGTGGGGGACACCGTACTAAGCGTTTTGGATAGTTTCAGGGCCAATGTTACCTTTGTAGGAGCAACTGATTCCTTATTATCTCATGATTTTATTCTCATGAAGTTTTAGGTAAAAACATTACCCGACACTTTACACCATAGGACAGGAAGATGTATGAGTAAAATATCTCCTTATCCTGAGTGAATCTGAATTCTACTAAGGTATAGTGAAGAGTCTATGCAGAACTGCAGATATACTGTATGCCATTAGGAGTTTCGTTTAAAGAACATAAAGGAGAGGAAGGACTTTGGCTCATCTAGCTCATTGATTTACTAGGAACTAACTTCAGAATCTCAAGCTGCTTCCTGAAAAATGCCAGGGTATCTAATTGACTCCCATAACCCTTTTCTGTCATTTTCCTCCTGTGCATCTCATTTATTTATTTATCAGTGATTAACCACAGAGAATCTGGTTAAAAAAGTAAGAGACAGATTTTCAAAAACTGCTTCCACTCATTTCCCCAAATCTTTAGGCTCCCATTTCAAGATCTGGACGTTATGGACACTGTTAATTCACTGTTAGAAAAACGAGTCTTCATTTGTTTTAAAAAAATACAAGCATTTTGTCATGGTCTCGGGGCCTAACAGTTGTAGTCCTTTCCTGATCAGTTAATGAAAAGGAAAACATAAATACAACGAATTAGTTTTGACCATTTGAAGATCATATCACTATTTCCTGTGATCTGGAACCCTGGAATTCCAGAATGTTCAAACCCACGCCTCTAACTTTTCCAGAAAAACGCATGGCATTTTCACAGCTGCCAAAAACCGAAGGGAAAAAAATAATTTAAAAAAAAAAACACGTTTTGTGCCTTTTTTTTGGTCCCTCCCTTGCTATCTTATGCTATGCTGACGTTTACGATTCTCTGTCGGCGTGCTGCTCCTCTTTTTTTTTTTGTTCTGGTGCATGTTGGGATGTGGCGCCTGTGACGTCATTTCGACCGCGTTGGAGCTGTGGAGGGGAGAGGAACGTGACGTGGCAGAGAGAGCGAGACACCGAGATCCGGAGATCCTGTTCAGGCCCCCCCAGTCAATCGGTGAAGTGAACCTGCGCCCATCGTCTGTGAGCACAAAAAAAAAAGGCCGTCTTGTGTTTGAAACGGACCGGTTACCGGCACTGCCTCAGCTTCGCCGCCTGAAGAAGAAGAAGAAGAAGAAGACGATCGGGGAGGGGGGAGAAAACCAGAAGAGCCAGCGCGATCGCTGACACTAAAACCGGAGTTGAGAAGTGAATTCAGGGAGCGGTAAACATGGGCCTCACCATTTCGAGTCTCTTCTCGCGTCTCTTCGGGAAGAAGCAGATGAGGATACTGATGGGTGAGTCTGGGCTCGGGAGGCAGCCCTGCGCCGGTCCGTTTGACTGCTGTAGTTTCCAGGGAGGAGGGAGGCTGGAGTCTTTTTTTTATGCCGCACGGCCTTCGCGGCGCTTCAACTTCGACAACAGGGCAGAAGTTTGCCGCAGAGTTAGGAGAGCCTGCTAGCCGGTAGGGTGGCACCTCGGACTCGGAGGAGAGGGACCGTGGCGGTGTGTAACACAGCATCGCCCTCGCCTCTCTGAGGCTGGAGCCGCCGGATAAGCGCGCCCGGCCGGGTTGCAGTGAAATTCACGCTGTTTTCGCGTAAGGGACTTGAGCACATCTCCTCTAGTTACTTTTCTTATACTGACTTGTTGGCGAGGCCGTGAACTCGCATCTGGAATCTGAAAAGAACCGCAAAATTACTTTCCATGACGGAGTGTAAGATATATATATAGAGAGAGAGAGCAGCACAGCAACGCATATGCCTGGTTTTTCGGATGTATTTATATTTCTAAATTGGAATGTGTTCGTAATTTGTGAAACCGACGGCTTTTTCGTATAGTAACGGCTGCCAATAGAAGCAAGTTGAGTCTTTTTTTTATCTCCAACAACAACTTCCAAGACAGAAAGTTCACTCATCTGTAGTTAAAAGCAAGCAACAAGGTTTTAGCAGACGGGGGTATTCAGGAAAGTTAAATGTATTTTTTTTGTCGGCCAGAAAAGAACGAGGGAGTATAATATCCTGTATTTGCTCCTATCGGAGTTGTAATATTGTGAAATTTGGCACTGCTGCCCGCAGATCTCTGGAATGCGAGGAATGTTCTCTTTAAATGGGGAAAAGAAGGCATTTTTTTTACTACCTTCCATATTTCTTTTTCCCCCGTTTCCGTTTAATGCACTGCTGACGTAACTGTCCGGTCATATGACTTAAACATATCAAGTACTGTACCCCTTCAGTACTCCGGCTTTTTCGGCAAAGTGGTAAAAGAAGTGAGGTCTTCTAAAAGTAATATTAGCTAGACACTAGAGATTATAGAGCTCTTGTACCTCTCCACAAGATGCCCTGAGTGTTACAAGTGGGTATTCAAGGGAATCTAGCTTCAGGCCAGAAGTGTTAAATGAATGGTCACAATGGATAATAATAATTGCTTACACTTTTACACTTATATAGTGCTTTTCTGGACACTCCACTCAAAGCGCTTTACAGGTAATGGAGACTCCCCCACCACCAAATTAAGCAATGGAAAAACTGCTGATTGATTTATATCAGCCGTGGCGTAATAAGGGAATCATGTCTCTCTACTTGGCCATGAAGGTGGTCATCGGTGTAATGCAAGAGAGTGTTCTTTTACGTAAGCTAAAAGGTTTGAAGTGCCAAAACTTCTGATAAGCTCTGCAGAGTCTTATTAGCTCCTTGTCAGGTGTGAAACAGGCCCAGTGGCATAAAACGGTAGTATTAGGGCCCTAAACTGATGGTCTTGTTTGTGTCTGCTCCTATCTGGGACATTTGCAATACAGAAACTTTACATTTACTATAAGCAAGAGTCATTCAGGTAGAATAAGGTAAGAATAACACCACATTGCAGAAACTCAAAGAGCAGAGCAAGGGATTATGCACTTGGGATGAAATACTGAGAACTGAGGTAGCAAGGAGGCTGAGCAGAAACGAGAAAACATCCTGTCGGTGTCTGCAGGTGAGTTCAGTTAGCAAGTTATCAGCATATTAAAACCATCAGTCCAGTAGCATGTCACAGATATTGAAGGGTCGAGCTGTGAGCTGGTGCAGGTGATGTATAAGCTCTCCTGCACTGAGCAGTTCTCACTGCTGTGGGCAGTTCAGTGCACCCCTGAGGGGCAAGATGGGGTG